GAGAGAGAGAGAGGTGCTATTGATGAGGTCTCACGTAGGCAAGAGATAACAAGGCTGCAGCCCTTCGGCAACACCAATCTTTTTCTCCTGTTTGGTGGCTATATTCCTCTTGACATGAAGACAAAAGACAGCCTCTCATTCCAAACCTCTGAAGCCATGGTGGTAAAAGAACACAAGAACCAGTAATTAACACTCTCCCTATCTTACCACAAGTCAAAATGAGGCTTGAATGCCATGAACATTGGTCAACATATAGATGTCACATGACCATATCCTCCCTATGTTATTGCTCAGACAGTACTGATTGATGGATATTCACTTTTTATAGAACTAAAACATTGATTACATGATAGAATATCAAACTCACTTGTCAAAGCTTAAGAGTTCTTTTTGGGGGGGGTGGGGGATATTCACCTTTTATATAACTAAAATATTAATAACATGATAGAATATCAAACTCACTTGTCAAGGTTTTTTTTTTTTTTTTGGGACTAAAGATTTTGATGGTTGATAGTAGAATATAAGGATCAAAGTATTTGTAAAAAAAATTTATCATTTGGATAGTAAACAAGAAACTTTGTTGTATTTTCCTTATGTCTTCTTTTATATAAAAATGACTAGAAACTTGGTAAGTGTTTTTTGGACTAAAGATTTCGACGACGGTTTATAGTAGAATATAAGGATCAAATCATATCCTCACCATTTACTATTTGTCAAAAATAAAATATATCATTGGGATAGTAACTAAGAAACTTTGTTATAATGTTAGTATTTTCCTAATGTCTTATTTTATATAAAAATGACTAGAAACTTAGCACTATAAATACTCTATCTGAACTTATATGAAGCATGAAAATCCATGATGATGGTGATGATAGCTCTAAATCAGTAATATAATCTCAGTAGCAATGTTCTAACACAGTAAATTCAAGCCTAATAAAGACCCGCCAAGAGCTTAAATTGATTTAGAATAACCAGAAATAATTTGGTTGGTAGTCTTTCTAGCCAAGTTAAAGTCAAATGTCCTTAGTGCATTGGATTATATTAAATTGAGTCATCTTAATTGGCAAGTGAGATTGGTTTTTCCACAGAAGATTAAGTAGATTCATGGCTTGTGATCAATAGATCACAAATGACCATAGCCTTTCTCTTCATTTGTGATCAATAGATCACAAATGAATCATCTTAAGATTAACTATGCTAATGTTATACTTCTTAAGCCATTGGTAACCAAATTATTACTGTTTGCTATCATCAAAACCATCCCATAAAGCTTTGGGATTCTTATTATTCTTTCATTATAGTTATGATAATTATGAAAAGTAATCATTTAGTATTCCCATTTTTTTTGCTGTTAAAACTTCATATCAAAAAATTGATCAATTGTTATAGTGACTGCTAGCTTAAAAAGAAGAATCAAAATTATTCTGGTTGTGCATTGATGGATGGTAAATCATATTATCAATCTTAATTTCACTATTCAGTGTCAACTCCATCATGTCAAACTTGACTCATATGTCAATTCAACTAGCAATGGCAACTCCTTAGTCAAAGTCAACCTTTCACATTGACTATGACATTGTCCCTCCAATTCCATCTAACAATAAATCAAACCAAAATTGATTGAGGGAGTCTTTTATGTGTCACTTGATAGGAAGCTAAACCCACATAAAAGTGAGAAAGGATGCATATAAAGCCTTAATAATATCAAGGGCATATAGATCAGTAGTCTGGAGATGCAAGAAGAACAACAAGAGCTTTAAAGTCCTTTACATCAAAAATTAATGAAAGTCTCTCTCTCTCTCTCTCTCTCTCTCTCAGAATAATAACACACACATTTGCTTTCCTTCTGTTTTGGCTTCTGTTCAACTCTATAGAGTAATTTGACAAAGAAGTACCTACTGAAAGAGAAAGGTCATTCATCAAAGAACATCAAAAGCATCATCAAGCATTCTAGCAGAGACCATCACAGAACAATCATGCAACACATTTTGAAGGTTGGCAATTCACAGAGAACAGAGACAGGCAAAAAAAAGGACCCCAGAACAGTCCCATCTCTTGTTTGTGTTGTGCTGATGATTGTATCCTCATGATGATGGAATCAAACAGCAGATGCAGAGGCCCACATCTAAAGTGGCTTTTTCCTGCTAAAAGCTGAGATGGATGGGTTCGGAAAACCACAACACCTTTCCACCTAAATGTTAGAAGACTGTCACCAAATCCCCAAACAGTGGATGTTCTTACTGCTTGTCTTCATAGACTTGGACTCCTCTGCCTGCTCTCTCTTTCTCTCTATGAGTTTTCATTTCAGCAGTCAGTACACTAAAATGGTACCATCTTTTTCTGAGACAGCATCTTTGTCTGTACAAGACTCACCAACTAGCAATCATGTGAAAGATTTGTTCTTGCAGCAGTGTGAAGCCCATGGTTGTTATTTCTTGATTAGAGAGATGAGAACAAATTTATGCAACAATCAATAAATGCATCAAGGTAAAGGATATATATTCTACAATCCATTTATGGCCAAGTCAAGGCCATGTATCTTAGACCACAGTCATCAATGCAGATTGCTCATGAACATTGCCAAGGGTGTGATGTACAGTGCTAATCTGTGCCTCTTAAATGGATCAACACATCACCAATGCTTGAAGGAGATCAAAGAGGTAAATTGTTTTACTTCCTTCAACACTAGAAGAACATTTTTTGCTTCATGATTCACCACTGCCATCTAGGCCCACCCAAGATCATTTCAGAGTAACTGGTTATACAATTACAAATATTTATATCAGAACAGGATATGAGTTGGAATCCTATGTGTCTCTCTCTATTTCATAGGGTGCTTAATTGATATTTATATAATATCTTTCTTTTTAATTGGCTTACATCATTCGCTTTCGGTATGGTTGACCACCAAATCAATAATGTTTATCACAATTATTTACTCTTGCACAATGATAATGATTTCGGACGACGAATCTCGAAACTACGGTATAAATATTGGGTTAGAGAGAACAAGTAACATTTCTCATGATAAATTCAAATACTGATTAGTGGATTTTTTAATGTCCAAAGCATACCTTCCCCTTTCTTTAGAGAACAAAGGTCATTCAAAAAAAATATAGGAGTTCAATGCAAGTTTTACACATCAACCATGACAAGCAGAACAACCAGGAAGACCCAAACTAAGGTGGGAAGAAGAGGAGGAGAACTGAAGCAATGGAATAAATAATTGGTGACTTGTCTTTAGCATCTGTAGCAATGCAGTCACATATAGATTCCTGTGAGCTGGGGGATGGGGCCAAGTGTTTTAGAATGCTGAGAGTGATGTGAGGTGGCCATCGGGTTATTAGGTTTATGATCCAAACCCGATACCAAATCGGATTATCATGAATAAATCATGAGCTTTATGTCTATCTAATTTGCTTAAGTCAGATTAAAATATTCATTTATCAAGTTTAGAATTAGTGTAAGTAGTATGAGATGATTAAAGATGCCATGGGATAAATGATTCATTAATTTATTATTTTAAAATCCTTTTATAGTAGTGAGACTTGATAGACATCACATCATAAACAACAAATTATCGGATCACATGTGATCGATAGGTGGTATGGATGGCACACTAACATCACATGGCAACATGTGCCTAACATATCAATCGCCTAAAGCCATATCGACCACATATGATCGATAAGTGATAGGTGGTTTGAGTGGCATGCTAACACCACGTGGTAACATATAATAAACACGTTGATCGTTATTATTAACATATAATAACCATGGATGTAATGACCCTCAAAGCTACTTATAAAAGGGGATCCTGCATTCCTCACATATTGAAAGTTTTCTTATTATCAAAGTTTTTCGACTGGACCAAATGATTCAAACTCAAAACTAAATTGATCAGACATTTGTTAGGAATGCTCTCGATTTAATTTTGTAGGTTCGATACTTCCAAGTGATGATTAGGACTAAGAATGACATGGGAAAAGTCTTAGTTAAATCTGAAACCATTTATATCTTGAACAATTAGAATATGCATTAATAGTAAACTCATCCATCCCATATAAGTTTATTTAAATCTTAACCCATCTTAATTGGGTGAAATATGCCCAAGATGTATGAATCAAGGAAAATCGACTCGTGCATATAGGTACCTTCTTTATGTTGCGAAGGAACAAGTTAGTAACAGACTTGCCAGGTGGATTGAACATTGAGCTCTGGACCCCTCTAACATGAGACCTGAAGCACGCCTTAGGGGCGAGGGATAAATGGTAGGGAACATATTGGCAACCAATCAACATCCAACACTTGTCACCATGTGGAGGCTAGTATGGAAGAAAAATGTTCCAGTCACCCTCCACCTACTCGCCCTCGTGGACAATAATCTAATAGAGACGGTTTGGGTCTGTCTTCCTTCTATCGCCCACGTGGACAAAACGTCAAAGGGGGACGTTGGGGTAATTACAGGCTATCCCCTCCATAGATTAAGTATAAAAGCTAACCCCTAGTGCTATATCGAGGGATTCTCTTTTCGAAAAAAACTCATATCTCAAAAAGGACCTCAGACTAACTTAAATGTCAAAGAAACTGGGTCAGGAAACTTCTCCCGATATTAGTCTTAGTACATGTGACGCCTCGGAAGCTCCCCCACCACTTCGAAGCAACATTGAAACTACCCCGGGGCCATCTCAAAACCACTTTGGAAACATCTCCGAGTCACCATAAACACTCCTACGCTCTTGGGTTTGGACCACGTCGGATTGACTCGGACGTTGACGTTGATTTACCCTAACAAAACCTAATCCATCAAGTCCTACCAAATTAAATCAGCCACATTTACCACATCAGCCTTATATACTTATCAAAAATTTGTTTCAAATCAGATTTGGTATAAAGAATTTTCTTCTTAACCACGTTAGCTCAACTTCGATACTTGGACACCACATCGACACTCCGACTTTAACTATACACCTCAGCTCCTTGGCATCTGGAATGGCACCAACCTGTTTCTACTTCAGACTCGGACTTGGTCATGTCGTCCCTACCATCTCACTTATAGTTCTACTTCGGACTCGGACTTGGTTGGTCATGTCATCCCTAGCATCTCACTTATTGACCTACTTTGGAGATAACAAATCTAAAACATGTAGCTTAACAGTTAATGCTAATAATCCTATGTAGTCAGTGATCTGACTTTGGAGATAACACTAAAACAAATCCAAATCAGGTAGCATAAATCTAAATTAATGATAATAATCCTACCTACTCTTGTATATAGTCACTTGCTCCTGCTTTATGTGAGACAGAGACTAGATAGTTCCATGTTTCAGCAACTTATCACACACGACACCTGGGAAAGCTTATTTCTATTTATTTGGTGCCTGCAGCTCAAAAACTAGAAGACCACTTTTTTCGAAAAGCCAAAACAATTTCAATACAGTTTGTGATTTTAGTCAACAATCCCATTACTGTGAACTTTAATCATATTCGAAGAAATATGGTGATGTTGAAATTAGCCAAGCTGTAGTTTTCGAGAAAAGTAGTGCAGATATGAAGCAGGTAATATTTCTGCATCAACTCATGCATCATCCTGTTCTTGAAAGATTAGAAGGAACATCAGAAAAACCATACAACTTTTGAGCTTGAACTTGGCAGAAAGAAGCTTCATCCAGCAAGATCAAAATCACTACTTGCAGGATTAGTTTGACCTCGATCATTTCAGCAACTCTGACTTGGAACCATTCTTCATGAAATTACAATCTCAATGTAATTACAGCCTGAGACAGTAGCTATCCCATTGTAATTACAATCTCCATGAAATTACAAGCTTAGATTGAGACTTAATAGACAAAATTGTTGTATAATTAACACATACATTGATTATACACCTGAGAAGGAGGACCAAATGCTGAAGTGTAATCATGCTGATGCTGATTGTTTGTCGTCATGGTCAACAAGATTCAGTGCTTGCAACAGCTTTGGCCAAGATTCAGGGATCCCTCCCGGTAAATCAAACTCTAAGAGCTTCCCTCTTGCACGGTAGAATTCCTCAACTGGTTTGCTCTGTAGAAATAAACCATAATTAGGCAACATTATCATATCTACCACATAATTTGGTAGGTAGGTCAGGCAATCACTATAAGTATACAGTATCATCATATACAATGTTTGATACTTATCCAGCTACCAGCATAAATGAAATAAGAACAGTTATAAGCACCATGACAGTGAACATGCACCCAGATGTGCATGTGATTGTCAGCATCACATCCGCACGGTCCCCTGATCATCTCGAACAACATATCAAAACCACTAGTATTTATTGATGAAACCATGCTATCATTCAAAAGGGGGAACAAATAGGGTTGTCCGAACACTTATGGTCTACAAGAAATATTTTCTTAGTGACTTGAACAAGAGGCTCACATTCATTCACTGAAGTGATTGCTGTTCATCACTGGGCTATCTTGGTTCCCATCATCAGTCTTTCCCAGTAAGCTACAGTTGTAGCAGAAATTTGCAACCACTCGTACTTGTGTTTTGCAACCACTCACATTCTTTCATTCACTGAAGTGATTCTAGTACCGCTGGACTGATAAATATCGATCCATACCAACCTGTACTGTCAATATTTGAAACCTTGCCTACAACAGTATTGACTGTTTTCATATACAACAATTGCAGATATCTCAATAGGAATTTATTTAATCAAATGTTGACTTTAAATCATTGATATAAATTTTATGGCCAACAAAGGAAAATTTAAAACTTGCACTCAATTCTTTCCATCCCCATTTAGCTTGAGTGAACTCCTTTTCATTCCTTTCCTTTCCCATTTCATTTCAAACAATAAAAAAGTGGATCAAAGAATAATTTTTTTCCATTGAAACAAACAAAATAATTTTTCAGTTCATTTTCCATGAAAGAGGTTTTCCCTAAGTCAATATTTAAATTTTTGTTGCACTTGAGCATACAAATAGTAGATCAGGAAATTGAGCAATTATTCTAAAATAAGCACATGATAAGTTAGTGTCTTACCATTTCATTATATATTTGCAATCGCTCTTTCACGACCTCTTCAGTATCATCTACTCGAGTTACGAGTTTTGATGCGCAATCTGCTGGGGGTAGAAGTGGAGCCATAATAAAATCTGGCCTCCCGTTCTCACCCTTGATGTTGACAGATGCAACATTATAATTCCCTCCACAGTGGCTGCAAATTCTTCTTCCAAGGCACTTTGCAAGCAGTGCATCTTCTCTGAGTTTAAGATTGATGACCAGGTCAATTTCTGTGACTCCCTCTAGTATTTCCTGATATATTAGTACATGCGCAAAATAAGAGCACACTCAATTTCTCACAGCAGTAATGTTAAAGATTAAAAGCTATCATCACTATTTTCAGGTAAATATTTTAAGATCTGTTGTCTGAACATCAGATTGGCTGACACTGAGCATAAGAAAGACTTCTATACAAAAGGAATGGGACTTCCTTTTTCTTTTTGTTTGTTAGAAATTTGGAGCTAAGAACAGTGATAAAATGATTTTGAAATGTTAACACTAAATGGCAAATCTTGATGATAAGTTCCAGAGATACTTAAGACTGTTTCTGGACTTGTATAAGGATTAAATGGGGGAAACAGCTGAAGCAAGAGTGTTTAGATTACCATAGTACTAGTGATTTATCTTTAATAAAGTGAGCTAATCAGTAAAGAATATAGACGAGGAGTTGAGAAAAATATTTCAGTAATAATGGGCCCTCTGATGTGACACGAACATTTCTCCAGCTAGAAAGTGACAATGGATAATCTTAACAGACTTATAAATAGAACTTCCAACTTATACCAAGCTTATAACTGCATTCTGATACTGATTTGTGTGGTGAGATTGCATGTTTTGAGCACTAGACAACCTTAGAGACCAAATGCAGAACATCAACATCTTTGTGTTGCTAGTGAGTTGGTTACTCGGCTTTACACTGTGCATATTGTTTTACCATTTTAGCATTCATGGGTAGAATTCCTTCAAAGAAATTAGAAGACATTTGCACTCTTATCAGTACTAAGACCTTGGAATATATCACATGCTTCATGTAACTTGAGTCTCAAGATACAAGACTTTAGAAGTTCTTGTGCAACTAGTTTACATCTTTTGAGCTTGCTTGTTAATCCCTTAAATATTGAAGGAAAAATTGTGCAAGTATATACCCTTGTAAATTAGCGATACCACTCTAAGTTTAGATTTAGCGTATTGTCCTTTTGTATCTTAAAAACTTATAAGTATATCACTCTAGTTAATATATGTTAGTTGATTGTTGGAATAATGTCATTGAAACTCAAATTGACATGAATAACACATCATCCATTAGATGACTGTTAATAAAATGATCTTGAAACTCCCTAAATCCTCAAAATATTACTCTTCCAGGATGGAAGTGTGTAATGAAAGGAAAAAGAAAAGGAAAGAGGAAGCCTAAGGCAATTGTAGTGAAAGAGAAATGCAAATAAGAAGTAAAATTATCAATGAGAATAATAAGAATGTTTTAGGCATGTATTGATGTATCACTCAATATGGTACAAAACCGCCAGTATGTATTGATTCTCTAGTTAACCGATAAATTGACCCAGCCCATTTCGGGTGGTACACTATTAGGGGGCGTACCAGGCATCAGTGTTTTTAATAAGCGCCCAAGCACTCGCCTAGGCACTCAAGTAAGGCAAGGCCCGAGCGCAACCTCTGGGTGACGCTATTTACTGAAGCGTCGCCTGAGCGCTCGCCTGAGCACAAACACTAAGCGCCTCGAGCAAGCGCCCAAGTGAAGGTGTATTTTGTTCATGCCTGGTTTGATTGAATAAGCAAGTTGCTTCAATCGAACCAACTAAAGAGCCCTGACACTACCCCCTCGATGAGCCCAACCCAGCTTTGAAACCCTATGTCTGCCACAGCTGCCTTTGTGCGTAGCTCCCTTTGCCGCTTTTGCCTTCGTGCATAGCTCCCTTTACCGCCAACCCCTTCGTCCGAAGCTTCCTCCAGCATCAACACCTTCACCCGAAGGTTCCTCCGCCACCAATGCCTTCGTTTGAAGTTTCCTCCGTCGTTGACGCCTTCTTCCATAGCTTCCTCCGCCATCAACGTCTTCGTCTGAAGCTTCCCTTGCCATTGTAGCCTCCGTCCGAAGCTTCCTCCACCGCTAACGCTTTTGTCTGTAGCTTCCTCTATCGCCTTCCCCCACCTTCCTCCAAAGTTGTCAATTACTCCTCTCAATTGTTTCATAGCAACTTTACTGTTTTGACATTTTTGTTATTAGAAGATGAACGATATGATTTGGTATGTTATATGATTACAATTTAATATAACATTTTTATTTTTATGATCATATTTATCAATCGTAATATATTTTTATATTTTAATATCCTTAAGCATCTTGCTTTGCTCGGGTAGGTGCCTAGGCGAGCGCTAGTGCCTCAAGCATTTGGGACTTTGCACCTTTTGGCGCCTAGCACTTTCAAAAATACTCTCGAGCATTACACCTCTTGCATCACTTGATACAATTTTTACTAACCAATGCAGGTTAATAATAGTCAAATTTCGACCATATCGGACTCTTCTTGGGTCAAATCAAGTCCCAACAATCAAATTTACGATTGGGCCCTATTTTGGCTCTTTAGATCCTCCTCCCTCCTCTCACTCACACTCATTCAATTTTGTACCCTTATAACCCAGAATTTCTATTTTATGGCTTAAACACATTTTATTCTTATCAAAATATAATTCATATACCAAGAAATTACGAGAAAAAAGCCCTCAAATACGGCTTTTCGAATTTTAGGCCATTTTTTTATCCTTCTCTTGGAACATCAATACACTAGTAGCAACCGATATGTAATGTACGACCAACAACCAATATAGCCGATCAGCACGAGACAACGTTCCTTAGTTTTCGGTATAGAGAATTTGTATTTAAACTAAAGTTAGCTACTAGTAAGAATGGAAAGTAGTTACAAAGTTTATTAGATGGGTGCTAAGAGGAGTGACATATGCGAAGGATCTTCTATTTCCAAAATTTGAAAAGATAATCATGTAAAAACCCAATTAAAAGGGTGGTCCAAAGCAGAGCATTAAGGAAGAAAAACATAAACAACCTTGCTCTTGCAAACACGAAGCTGATAGAGAATATCTAAATTTGTCTTGAGAGAGTTGAGAAACTGAACATGCCCCAATGCCAACCATCAAAGGACAAAACCGTTTCTGGTCATATGTTGGCACCTCAAATATAAGTCAGCATGGTATGTGCTAATGTCTTTCACGCTTGAGAAGCTTCAACCGATACAACACATGTCAACCAACATAACAGTCTTTGTCATGGAAGTAGACATTGTTGAATGGAAAAGGACTATCAAAGATTTTTTTAAAAAAGGGTACTAGGCAAAAGAATACAATATAAAGTTAATGATGGAATAGTACAAATTTAAGCCATATAGTTAATTGCACTTTATAACCAAGATGATCATAAACCAATATTAAAAAAATTTATGATTTCATGGATTAATTTACAAGTACTATATTTAGGGTAAAAACTTAAGGAACCTTAAAGATAAATAAAATTATTTTATGTTCAAAGATCTCATTTCCATAATTGATTTTATGACAAATTATTTAAAAGCTACACTTGTTTGTCCACAACTTTGAACTAGCTGTCTTTCCTTTTTAGCCGAAGTTTTATGCTGATTCCATTCTGTATATTGATGTAGTAGAACCAATCTAATGATCATGATTCATTATCTTAGGAAGAAAAGTCTGGCAATTATATTGTGGAAAACCATGTGGGTGGTCAACAAAGACTAAGGCACATTTGTGCCAATATGGGGACGCCAATCACTTTTAAACAGGATAGAAAAAGAATAGAGGGAAAAGAGAAATCAAATATAAAAGAATTGCTTCTACCTTGTTTTTAGCAGCCAAAGGCACTGTTCTCTAACATCTTCCGCTTGTTGTTTGCTTCTTTATATGGCAAGAGTGCCTAGCTATTGGAGCTGCAGCTGAACAAGGCATGGGGCTAATGTCTCCGTACACAGAGAACAGAACCAAAGAAACTGTAATATTCCTTTAAATGGCTGGTTCCCTTAAACAGATTATGTTAGTTCAATTGACTGGTTGGGTTGACTGGGGCCAACTGTTACACAGAAAATACAGCAAAGAACAACCAAACAGATCCTTCTTCAAATGAATGAGGTAACTAATTGCATGGAATAAACAGTAAGAAAGAAATAACAGTTACTCTTGAGGAGATACCATGAACATAAAGTTACGAACCCTATTACCACCTTTTACGGTAACCTGAAATCTACCTTTGCCATTTCTACCTAGTAGGAATTGCTAAAAACAAGATCGGCCTTAAAAATGAATCATATATCCAAAAACTGACTGCATTGCTCCAGCAATTTTCATTACGAACTTCACAAACTTTAAATGTTTATCATCCACATCAATTTACAAAATCAAATTTAAAGCTTAAATGTCTACAACAATAAAAAAACTAGTCATATTGCTTTAGATTGCACAATCTCGGTTTAAACAAATTTTCTGCACAAAATAAAACAAAATGAGATGATGATCAGCCAGCACGGTAACCAAAAATAAGATGGAAGCTACTAAGAAGCCTAAATTCTCAATCAACTTTATCTTTAATTAACCAAGTAGAAATGGATATTACATTTTGTATGCTTCGTACAAAATTCATTAGCTTACCGCTTGTCTTATTGTTCGTGGGAAACCATCAAGAATGGATCCAGATTCAGCCTTAGTTGCTCCATGTTCAAGGCGTTTAATTAACAAGCTCATGATAATCTCATCTGATACCAATTGACCATGATTTACAATTCCAGCAAGCTGCAAAATAAAATTACAAATTATAAGTGTAAATAAAAAACTGGCATCTGATAGAGCAAAAAAATCCTTTCACTCACTGTCACATGAAACAGAGCTTTCAAATGCTAAAGCATATTATAAGAAAATCATGAGCACTTCAATGATATTGAAAGATATTCTATTTCTTCATCGAGAAGTATGACTTATGGCAATCTGAGATAGAAAGGGGCAACAATACAACTCTGAAGGAACAGATTTCCACCCAACTATAAGATATGTAGTCTATTAATTTTATATCAGCAAGTAAACACTATCGAAACCAGATTTTTTCAGCTGCAGAAAATGTAGAATGAATTAACAGAGGAGAGGAATATAAAGTTGACAGTTCTAGAAACAAAGTTGCAACTCTCAGCTTCTATCAATTGACAACAAAATAATTTGCCTATGGCCTATCTAGAACACTATAGCAATAGATACTTCATAGTGGTCAAAACAAAAGATGATTTTTTTTTCCACTGAAATTATTTCATTTTGATTTAACCCAATAATGAATGATTAATGATGAAATCCATGTCAAGTTTCCCGCAAGATGCTCTCTCATCCTCAACATATCCTATTACCTCTATAAACAATAATCAATTGACTTAGGCTATTTTGTGAAAAAATCAATATAGTAACATGTTCTAGAAAGTATCCACCAAACAGTTACCAATGCTCCCAAGAGTCAAGTCAAGAATCTACAAAGTTTGAAACCTATGATGCCCGTACCCACCACATACGAAGAACAAGAATGGAACAGCCAAAACATGTCTAGAGCATGCAAAGACATATTAGTGTTCAACATAAATTTCACTTTCTAGTTAGTTTATTGTCACCCTCATAGGCGTATATTTGAAAATTCAAATGGTATATCTACCATTCTATTACATGTTACAACTTTCTTTAGAAAAAGTAAGGGTGATCCAGTTACAAGGCTGCGAACGTGAAAATCTAGGTAGGGGGCAATGTGTAGTCTTATCTTTGCAAGCATGTAGCTTCTTTTGCAACTCAAACATCTGACACTCTATGTAACGAATGAGCAGCCTTATTTTAGCACAAGGTTCACCATGTTAACAGATTTATTTATGTCAAATTTATCCAGTTCTAAACAGAATACCTAACTAAAATTTCTCTATGTAGTAAATGTTCTTTTGATATTTCTAGAGCTTCATGCTAAAAGGAAAAAGGAAAAAGACAACCTGTGTCATGACAAGAATCAGTAATTGATTTTTCAACTTCCACACCAGATTCATTTTTACAGCAGTAACATAATTGTGCCACAGAAGCTAATATTGAATGGTAAATTTCATGACCAAAGACAGATAATCATTAGAAAAAGCAGTAAAGTGCATCAACAGTTAGCAATTGACATCAATAATATTGGATCATAAATGGATGCTGATTAGACAGTTTTACCTAGAAAGCTGGGACATTGCCTATGAGGAACTTATAAAGTTGTTGGATTTTAATTTTTCTTTTTGCAAATAACAGTTATAACTTTCTTCCTAGAATTAGGTTTTCGACAAAGACTGCTGCAGCCTCGATGAACTAGCATGAACTGATGGAATTATGCACTTTTAAAACATGGTTTTACTTGGATGGTTTATTAATCAACCAGGGCTAGTAGTATGCCAATGATCTTTCAGTTATTGCTTCTGTATTGTATCATGAATTCATCAGAATTCTACAAATTAAAATAAATCGATAACTGTAAACTTGCTACACTAGTGATATGAATAAAATACATTGATAGGCAAACCATTCATATCACTTGGGGCACCAAAGATAGTACCGCCCATCAATGATAACCACATTACTTTTGTGTTCCTCTTTTATTTGTGTATCAATGGAAGATGTTCTTATTTCACTTAATTAGGCACAATACTTGCCCAATTAAGCAATAAATGTCTTTGTTCTTTTACCCTAGGACTTGTGAGAAACTGTTAACTTTTCTTTTTTGTTTTTTTTTTCATTACATTACAGTGGCAACTTGAATGATCAAGTTGGTATCTGATGAAGCCTTTCTCTTCGTTTCCACTAGTGGATGATTATAATGACCATCAGAAGGTCTTTAGCAACAAAACTTGACATTAATATCCATGGTTTGTCTTGCCAGTCCGTACCGATATACCGACCAGCTGTTAGTATGGTACGTACCAAGTTATACCGAGCCGTTCTGAGCATACCGAAACATGATACATGCAAGCATACTGATGTACCGCCCATACCAAGTGGTATGCTGTGGTACGACGAACCTTGTTAATATCATAAAATGAAGAAGGGATGGAACCAAGTTCAAGCTGGTAATATTGTTTCATTCTCTCCTTTCCTTCTTAGTCCTTTGTTGTGGAAAAGCATATGAAAAGATGATTCATTTTAAAAAGGCCAAAAGTTGGTTATTTTTGGGGAAAAAAGAATTTGTGATTTTGTTGTTCATCCAGTGTGGACCATTGTAACAAATTACTAAATACAAGTTATAAAGAATGGTTCTGCTGCTACAAGCCAAAGGATGTCTCAATCAGTAATCAAACATAATCATCACCTCTTATGCAAATTTGGTGCAATTGTTATGCTCACTAATTGGTATCCCATCAACTATTTTCATGGCCAGCATTAACCAAGCAACTAGACGTAAACCAACTTCCCCATCCTCTAATAATCCAAAACGTAAGCAACCCCCATTAGAATATAAAACCACTACATTTCCAGTTCATAGACGGCGTGCACAGAACAACAAAAAAAGAAACAATATAAATGAGCAATCTTTAGCTAAGACAAGCGCACCCCAACGAAATTACCTGCTGAGCAAGGGGCCCTGAGGAGGCGAGTTCCTCGCGGACGAGATCACCGGTGGAAATGTGAGGCACCCCGAGGAGCTGAGAGAGGCGGCTAGCGTAGGTTCCCTTCCCGACGCCTGGACACCCCAAGAACACCCAGTGCACGCCCCGGCCACCGGGATCCCTCGTCATCGGCGGCCCCAGGTGGGCCAGGCTGGTCGAAAACCTAGCGCCCATCACCAACGACAGCCACATCCTCGCGGGAGACCAGACCGCGGCGCAGCCTCGCCACAGGCGACTGACGGCATCCATTTCGCCGGAGCCAGGTGGTGGAAACGGTAGACACGATGAACCAACTTCGAGTCTTCTTCGACGAAAGGCGGTGGGTACATACTTTGGTCGGCGTAATATGCTAAAAGACCCCCAAACTAATCTAAATTTCATGTTCTCTCCAAAATTACTGATGTTTCGAATTTAGCCCTCTAAATGTAGTTATACAAACAATATCCCTAGGCAATCAAAAAACTTGCATATATACCCCTACATATATATTTATACTATAATTAATATTTATATGCTTTAAAAGCTATATAATAATAATAATAATATTTTTATTAGTTATTAAAGTTATATAATTAATATTTATATGCTTTAAAAGTAGTTATAAAAAAATTTATTAATTAATATTTTTTTGAAACATATGATCATCCTTTCAAACATTTAACATGTAAATGAGTAATAATGGAATATCTTATTGAACACTTAGACATTGACAGATTGTGTACTTACACTTGACATCTTGTTTATTCAAAGCAATAGTATACAGAATGGATCAAATGATATGGTAGCCATGCATCAGTTGATGGCGCTGCAAGTCCTTCTGACCTCCCCTGCTGAGCCAGTGAGGGGGGCGATGTCGCCCATCTTCACCATTGCGGCCGCGAAGTCGGCGAAGAAAGCCGCCTGGTTCTTGCTGTAGTACTTCACCATGTCGCCGGTGGGCCCGTGGCTGAGGAGCACCTGGTCGGAGTGCAGCAGGCCCTTCTTCTGAAGGAGGTTCTTGTAGTAGTTGTTGTCGAACGAGTTGGGCGTGACCAGGTCCAGCGGCGCCAGGGTGCTGTTGCCGAGGACCTGTGACGAGGGGCACCGTCGGCGTCGCAGGGCGGCGAAGCCATGGTCGATGTTGGGCTCGTTGTAGATCCTGTTCCGGAAGGTGGCGCACTGAGCTTGGCCGATGGTGTGGGAACCTGACAGAGCAACCATGTCTTTGATGCTAAGTCCTTGGCGAGCAAACGAGGAGATGAGCTCATCGAGGTTGTCGAACGCTACGGGCAGGTCTCTCTGGACCAAATCTTTGTTGGCCGCAGTGGTGGAGTCCCTTCTTCCAAGCTTCACCTTCCATGTCGGGCCACCAACCTGCTCAAGGATCGCTCACAGTTCAACGCGTCCGGAATTCGAATGGAGGCATCAAGTAGAGTACATGATAATGGCGCGCGCTTACGTATTCCGATGAGTCCCGCGCTGCGACGGCGAGGATGTCGGCGCAAGAAACCACTCCCGGGCACACCTTCTCGACCGCCCACTTGATGCTGTCGATGACTTCGAACCCTCTCGCTGATCTAAAGTTCTGGGGCGCGTTCTGTTCGCTCACGATGCCCTCGGCATCTTTGAGCAGGAGCGACGCGTCGCATCCCTGGCGAAGTTGGCCGAGCATATGAAACCGATGAGCGCGCACACGAGGGAATGGCAAGGGGAAGAAGAAGCTTGAAGCTTACCTGAACGAAGCAGTCATGGAAATGGAGGCGGATAAGCGACGCCGCCATGCGACGCTCGCGTTCGACGGCGCGCCTCACGGCAGCCCTGATGGTCGAGAGAGCTTGCGGGCAGGACTTGGCGTAGTACTTGGGTGTCAGATGCGCCTCACAAGACATTGCAGTCATGAACAGTAAGAGCGAAGCCAGCAACAATGCCTGTGTGAAGCTGGAAACTCTTGCAGAACTCATTTCCACGATGGATTGCTGAAGAAACGGATCAATTAAGTTGAAGGAGAAAGAGATGAGGGTCCGAAGGAGAAGAGGAAGAATAAGAAGTGAGGTAGCTTTGCGATGATGATTTGTAGAGGGTGACAGGGCCAATTTATAGGGCCAAAAGCCACGCAGTGGGAGATCTCCACACTCAATCTCCACGAGCGGCAGATTCAAAGCTCTTCCTTCAAAGTACATGCAGCTTCCCTCCATGACAATGTCTACTAGCAATCTTCTCAACAACTCTGGTGGAATGGTTCATAGTTTGACATGCTCTTTATTGGGTTATACTCAATCTAATAGCAATCTCTGTCTTTTTGTCCTTAAAGATGACAAAGATGAGGTGTAAAGTGGCTGCTTGTGGCTGACTGTCACTTTCTTCACATGTTATAATAGCAAACTTGACATGGTCATCCAATGATTTGTTCAATAAAATAGCAGTGTTTGAAGCAATCAAATCTTAGAAATGTAAACTAGTTCTAGTTATTGTTACTTTCTATCATTAATCTTTTAGGTTTTCCTAGGCAAATCTATTTGGACCAAACTTTGCCATCAAGTTGTGGCCTGCCTTTGCAGTTGATATGATGGGTCAAAGCTCGTGGCTTTGCTTAAGAATCAATCATTGTCGACTTGGTCCTTTTTGTTGCCATCAATGTCTGAAGCACATTTACTATGTTTATTCTGCTACGAAATAGCACGTGAGATTCTATTGACAGGATAAATTCCAATGAACAGCTCAAGTGGATTCCTTTGAACAACATGTGTCATTGGCCCATAATATAGTTAATTACTTTCCCAACATGAGTCTAAATCACAACATGAATATATTTAGCATGAACTAGATATACAGTGGTTTATTTGGAGACAAGAAAGGATTCATAAGAGATGGGTTATCTTGGCAGACTGTGGAGGCCCAAACCAACAAAGATTGAGTTGAATGGAAGATAGAAAACATGACCAAACATTCAACTTAGACCGTCAGTTTAGACTGATAGGTTTGGTGAATTAAATCTCCTCCTTGTAGCACATTTAACTCGCCGAAGACCTGCTCCAAATGCTCTCAAGATGGAACTGTGCACTTGATTCCAGCTGCAGCCTGCTGATCATTCAGAGGTGGTGCCACAGATGGTATGTGATTCACTCCCCTTAATTCTGACGTTCTAATGTTCATCACATTGCAGTATATGATACTGGGAATAATTTATAGTGAAATTTGCAGTGACAAGACAATACGATTTGCACAACTATGCACCTAATTCTTAGGCCGAGAGCGTAAGGAGAATGAATACATAATTAGACACATCAAGTTTTACTTGGGCATCCATAATTAACATATGAGACATGATGTCATGGATAATTTCACATTAACGCTGATGCATTTAAGAAATTGGAACCGAAGGGGACAGCAAAATGACAGACAAATAACTTCAGATCAATATAGCTGCAGGCTGCTTAAGGCATATAAGATCTTTCTTGTAAGTTGCAGCTCAGAAACAGATGGGTGTTGCAGATTTGAGACTCATAGGTAGACCTTACATAAAATGTTCCCAAAGATCAGCAGCCTCTCCCAGAAGCTATTTGTAAGAAATTGAGCAGCCTTAATGTTTGCAGTTATTTCTGGTCCCATGTAGCAGACTAAACTGATAGAGCATCGACTTCCCAAGCTATTATATAGATTTCTTCACGAGATTGAGAAAAGGATGAAGGTGGTATGATCGATCCCTGAATCAGTGGATTGGGTGGTATTGGGTAATCCTGCGCTTTGGTGGCAGTTTCCTTAAAATGAAAAGAACCAGGGACGAAGGGAGAATTTCAACAAGCTGCAAATTTCACAAAATTAAAATAGATTAGTGATACATGTTTAGCATGTCTGATTATGTCAGATAAGACAATAGAAAACGAGAGTAAAAATTAATAGATTGATGTGGAATCATATGCAGTTTTACAAGTCTACACATTTACCTTAGAAGTCTACGACAAGTTACACTTGGATAAAACATGAATGACAAGTTCATATCTTGGCTTAGCAAAACCATCAGCTGAACTTTTTGAGGAATAAAACAACTTCCATTTATAATCTGAGACCACATTCAAGAGCAGTAGAATTCCCCCTAAAAGTGGTGGTTACTATTCTTAACAATGACCACAAAATTGTGTAGGTTAACCCCCCCAAAGGTAAGAGGCATAAAAGACTTCAGTAATAACTAATTTGAGACTGACTTATTGACTACTCTCAGCATGAAAGTTAAAACTCTCTCTCCTGACAAGTGAAACATAAAATAGTAACTTGTCCATGCAAATTCATGAAGAAATCCTTTGATGTGTCCTAGAATAAGAAAATGCGGAATCATTATCACAGGGCAGTTCTTTTGACTGACTTGCATGAAGGCAGGATGTGACTGCATAGATACTTCAGAAAGTCAGATTATGTGAAGAAAACTGCATTGGTAGGATATAAGAACCATGTTATCATATGTTCTGTTCCCTTCTTTACTCCACATTTTAATTGTCTAAAAAGATATTACATGACAATAAAGTATGGTCTGTATAAAGTTCACCATTGTTTATTGTTTATCGCTTGAACAGGTTCTAATATGCATATAGGACATTTCTAAATATGCCCAATTTCTAAATTATGAAGTGTTGCTGAATTATTTAATTATAAATGAAAAGTCCTATTTAAACCAAATGATGACTGCACATGTGGTGACCTAGAACCATAATATGCACCTAAATACCACGAATGTGCTTGTAATACATTAAGTCATTAGCAATTATCTTTTTTTTTTATTTGGACATGGGACCAGTTAGGAAAAGGACTTTATGATTTTCACACGCGAGAGCTTACTATAATACAACTTAAAAAATATGCCAACCTTATATATAGTTTATTTAAAATGTAAAATATGTGCAATGGTTAGATTGAACTAAGTGATTAAGAAGGAAAGCAAAATTCCCAAATAAAAAGAGAGAAAAATTGGATAACAAATAGTTAAATCAATAGCAGAAACACTGCTCAATCCTCTCTTATGAGAATCAAACTAGTTGTCAGGTACTAGATTGTTCGTTAGTTATTCACGGACATAATATTATTTGGCAAGCCTACTCCAGGACTTGTCAGAGCATTATGACTGAACCAAGAGTGGAACATCATTATGAAAACCCCCCTTTACCCAAGCATTTGCCATATCCACGCTTATATATTTGTTTGTCTTTCCCTAGATGATATGAAATATAACCATAAAGAATAACTGCCTGCTTCAAGGTAATTATCTAGCCTGTACACACCACATGAAAAATTGATGACATTAGAGTTAAAATGATTACTTGCTTTTTGCAAGAATCTAAAAGAGGGAGGAAAAAAAAGCTAAATAACTTTGTTGTACGCAACGAGTGACGCCTAGATTTGAGCTTTTATAAGTCCAATAAAACAAAAAATCCTTCTTGGTATATGCAACAACAAAATGAAGATATCTCTTAAGTTGATACTAACAGTCAATGTTGATAATTATCAGTCACCTGATCTCAAGCTCATGCCATAATATTTTGATAATCAGATGAAATCAGATAGTATGTAACACTAAAATAAGAATTATTGCATCTTCGCTTCAGGCACTCAAGGACAAGCTTCAACACTAGATATTTCCCGACTACCATCTTAATCCCATTATGGGACTTGCCAACACAGAAAAAAATAACAGTTAAAGCAGTATACCTCTTCAGAAATAGATAGACACTTAAAAGCACGGAGTTATGCCACACCAGATGTGAGAAAACGTGCTATACTTCAATACTAAATTGTTGCCTATAAAGGAACTGCCTCAACTATGTTAGAATGTAGCTAAGACTTGAATCATACCAGATAAAATAAGAAGTTCAGAATTGGATGGTTTAGAACATCAAGATCTGCAGCCTTATCAAAGGCATTGAAGCACATCTGTGAAGCATTGAATAAAATAAGAACTTACTAGATCAACATATCAATTTTAGTTCACATAAAAATGAGATATAATATTCACACTTACCATAATACACCTCAACAAGAAACATAAGAAACAGATGGTGGTTACATAGCCAACCTGAAAAAGACCCCATTCACTCAATCAACTGCGGCCAAATGCATTTAGAGCCAAAGTCTCACACAGAGCATTAAGAAAGTCAAAATATACCTCCTGTAACTTTTTCCGCCGTCCTTTTGATTCGACAGGGAAGCGTTTCAGCATTAGGAAGAGCCTACCAAATATAAAATATCACTCAACAAGTTCCATCTTATAAATAACTATACATCACAGAAGAAAACCTGATAATACACATTAGTTTTGTTAAACCAGTCTGTAGTGATTATTTTAACTTAATATTTCAAATTTTATGAAAACAGTTTTTCTACCCGGGTAAAGTTGCATAGATTAACTCTCTCCAAACCCTGCATTGGCGAAACCTTATACTCTGGATTATCCCTTTTTTATTTTAACAGTTATTTTACAGCATTTAAAAGTAAGAAAACTCTTACTGGTAACCTAGTTAATCATAAATTCCAATGAGCCTATCATATGGATTTTCAGCCTTATATATCAAAGATTTTCTGTTAGTTCAAATTAATTATTTCAGCCTTTACTCGCATGACATGCATTGAGTTTCTAAAATGAATAATTTAAGGCATGAACAAGCAATTAAACAAAAGAGAGCAGAAAAAATAAAATTGAAAGAAAAATATAGCAATTGTTGTAAGAAAAAGAGTATTTCATCTAATCTAATAAGAAATGCCAAAGTCTTGCTGGCTCACATGGTTCTTAAACAACATTGAACTCAGATAACCGAATTCGGCAATCTTTTTAAAAGCATTTGCCATGAGTTTCCATCGATATTTGTTCAACAATATGTAATAGGCAGAAAATCATAAAATAAAAACAAAAACTAAGAAGTGCACTTGTTTCATTTTAGTAAAGAAGTATCAAGTGAAATTTCAGAAAGAGCACAAGTAGAAAACATCCATATTTAGAATGATAACCTAACCAAATTCCAAAACAACAAGCATAAAGCCTTAATAACAGAATGTGCATTTATTAAACTTATTGAGGGAGGTTTTCAAGCATGTAATCAAACAAATGCAGAAAACATAAAATTCATATGATGATTCATGATAATAGATCTTATGTATATTGAACATTTCAACTGGGTAACGCTTCTTTAATACAGGACTGCCTATTTGAGCATTGATATGCATTAGTACTTTGAATACATCAAAGCAGAAATTCTACTAAAGATACATGACTCACAGAGGATAATAGGAGTGAGTCAAATAAACAGAAAAATGTTGGTACAAAAGAACAAGTTAAATAGCACACCTCCCTCCATATAAAAGAAACCCGAGGGCAGCAAACAATGAAACACCTACAAAATAGTAAAACAACCCATTTCATAAAATTGAGAATCAACTACATAAAATCCAAGTGTTTAGGACAAAAACCTGCAAAGAAGATCTTGGACAGGATAATCATAGCTTGGATAGGCTCCCACCATAAGAGAAACCAAAGAACAAACTGCAGAAATTTATAAAAAATATAATAAAAAAAAACTCATTTTAGTCTCTTAGGCCCCAAAATGCTAACACTAAGCAAAAAAATTAACTTTGGGACTGAGAAAAGGGACCGAAGCTCAGTACATTTTCCATCACATTTGTCAAAGATGGATCTTGGAAAGAAAACTACATATGCATTAAAAATGCTAAAAGATAGGATTCGCCAAAACTTGCCATGAACATGTAGCACACCTTTACAGGTAATATACCGACTTCATATTAGTCCCACATGTTACCAGTACACAGACCAATGTAAACCGGGCAATACGATCGGTGCAGGGTCAGTACCACAGGGTACAGGATGATATATGCTCTGTACCAGACAGTTTCTTCTTTTTTATTTTTTCAGCCTCTTTAGGATTTTTCCAAAACTTGGTATGTGCAGACAGACACTCTATACACCAATACAGCACTGGTCCCAGCCCTGACTTGTACATCAGTACTGGTACACGAAATTGGTGAACCTTGAAACAAATATTATGGTGCTACATGCGACTATATTAGTGCATAACAAATGATGAGATTAATTGAAAGAACAAACTAACATGGAACTCATGCCAACCTTCTGAACAGAATAAAAAAGTGACATTCAATCTAATCATCATTTCTACTGATCTCTTGATCAACTCTCCTTTTAGTCATGGTAACTAAAGCCCATGGTTTCAACTTTCAAGTACACATTAACATAACATGGTAGTGATTTTTAGCAAAGACGGTGCGAGGAATATTATCCAATCCGCTACAATTATCCACAGAAGCCTGGAAAACCAACTTGAATAAGTACAATCATTTTCTGTAATATACCTAGGATTTTGTCACTCTGTCCCTCACTCACTTACATAAGTACATTTGCGTTTGTGTGCTTCAAATTTTTTTTCCAATAATCCTAGAATTTGGAAGTACTCAGTTCTCCCTCTCCCCTGCATTTGTATAGTTGTGCTCATTTGAAGTTCTGTATGAGTATGTGAGGGTTGATATGAGTGGACAAAGGAAATGTCTGCTGAGCAAGAATGTAGAATGAGAGCATTTAATAAAACCCCCAACAGACTGTAGAACTATTTATGATCAAAGGACAAAACTTTATTGCTTCTCAGACAATGCCTTGGAAAAGACCAGATTCTTCAATATGCTTCAGAAATGAGACATGCATGCTAGACACGACCATTGCCTACAACTAGGGTCACTGGCCTAGATACTTGCAACTTCTGGGTAGTGATGCATGACAGAAGATGTGCATGCATATTCTAAGGCCGTCAATTGTAGATTCAAGGTCTACAAAGGTTGACATCCTAGTATTACTAGGTTTTGCAGGTATACATGCAACGCCTCCTTTCAATTCTAATGAAAGACATCTAGCCTATATGACAATGACTTCTGTTCCAACACTAAAAGCTTAAGTCCCATGGCGCATTTAGCATGTTGTAACAGGATAGGACTAGGTGGATCAAATAACTGAGTGAACATCATGCCAGTACAGAAAAGAATACCATAAACTCTCATAGAGATACAAAGGAACAAATCTTTTCCAATAAGCTAGGACCAAAAATTATAGTGTTCTCTTGGGCCTAATGTATAATATAACTGTAAATGAATATCAAAAAAGAACAGACAACAGGGGAAGATTATTAGATGAAAATGATTATTTTATATAATATCTCCACAACTTACTTTGTAATAGGATGTCCTAATTCACAATAGTCCATGATATCCAGTCCAATTATCCAGACATGCAAAAGAGTCAAGTAGGACCAAATTATAGTTTGGTAAAGAACACATTTCAATAACATGTTATGCCTCCATTGGTCATAGTTTTTCCATTGTCTTGTCAGTGTCAAGAAGAATTGTCCCTAAAGCAAACCTTAAGACTTTCCTTTCTTGTAATCTGTTCTCAGTTCTAAATTAGGAAAATTTCAGAAGTTTGCTAAAATAGATAACGCTGAATCCTATATCAACTAAGCTTTTAAGGTCTGTGCAGAACTCTCACTTGAGTAACTTTTCTTCATCTTTGAATATTGGATCAGCTTTAGAGGATTAACATTAGGCCACCTGACAGTTAAAGAATTTTGTTAAATTATCGATAGATTTATGCTCCACAACCAACAAAATACTCATCGATAATTCTCCGGTGATACTCCCATTTGCACTCACATATATGCCGCAATCAAATGTCCGAATAACTCCATCCACGCTACAGCCTTCAATTATAGCTTCACTACCATCACTTTTAAAAACCAACATTTTGCATTACATTCATAACTTCCACATGACTAGTTGTAACCTATCCTGATTATTTTTCTAATTCCTCAACTTATCATAGAATCTCTCAAACTATGATGGACTTCTATCTAAGTCTTATCCTTAACCCTACCCCTATCATATATTCTCTGTTCTTGGCATCAATTATTCAACTTAGATTCTCTTCGTAACCTAAAAATTTGTTTGAGATTTCCCTAGTTTACTCAGCTAGTGGCACTTCTTTATTTAATAGAACTCTCTTTGTCTTTATTTTATAAACTGTTTTCTCACCATCTCATACTATAATAAAAAAAAGGAAGTTTTCAGTAGCTTCTACATAGCCAATATGAATTGAATCTAGTAGAAAACAAATGAGAAGTGTTCTAATTCCTATCAAACAGTAAAGAAGTGATGTTTGAGACCAAGGATCCTAATTAATAAAGGCATCAAATTCAGAACATCAACTCTTCATAAAGAAAAGCATATTTCTGAGAAATTATAAACAAGAAGTTACAGTAAGTCATGATGCTTTAAAAGTAAATTAAATTTTCTAGAGCCTTTTCTTTTAAGCAGGTAATACCATCCATGCCATCAGATGCCTTGGCTATAAATCTATCTCAACCCTTGATTACTAAGGAATGTTTGTTTCAGTAAGTATTTATACAATCAATAGATATTGATCTGTAATTACATAAATGAGGCCCGACCCTGATTTATGCTGTCTACGACATACACAATTAACTATGTCATTACCTGAATGGCATAAACCACTGCATTAATTGTATAGAAGCATGGTCTAAGGCCATCAATAGATATTGATCGTGCCTGCATGAGAATCCATTTCAGTTAAAGTTAGCTGACTAAACATTAATATAAAAAGAAAAATATTTCGTTGAATAAAGGAAAGAAAAAACTGATGACATACCTGGTAATATATTTCAGCCCAAAATAGTACCAAGAGTGCATAAGTAGTGAAGAATGCGAGACCAGGCAAATCCAAAAGAACATGTTGAATGATCTGTACGGTAAGATAATAACAGTTCAATACCATCACAAGAAGTTCTATGGCGTTCAAAATTATGTGTAACAAACCTCAGGCTTTATTTTTTGGATATGCCGACGAAATACAAAGATAAGCGATCTAACTGCAAAGACAAGAACCATAGCGAAATCAGATGCAATAAAATACCTCCTCGTCAAGTGTCTTAGAGTGAAGCACATCAGTAAAGCTAGATTCTTACCACCATTGACCAGGAAATTCAGGAAGTGAAAGACCTTCTGCGTTGTCCAACCAAACTCTGGTACTCTGCACTCGATTCTAAACAGTTGTATCTGCAGACTAGATTATTTCAGTAACCAAGCAGAATAAGAATAATTAGAAAGCAAGAAGCATTTTGTCACCGATGTGCCATAAAAAATTAAAGAGTGTATTTTTTTATAATTTGTTAAAATTTTCTAGTAAACCCTACACGAAAGAATCATAGCATGTCGTTTCATCATCATTGCAACCATCACGTATGGCATACAGTTCAAAGCAGTAAAAGCACCTAAACTTGCTTTATCTTTTCATATATTTCTATAATTTGCTCAAATTTGCGGTTCCACCAAAGCCTAACCCCACAAATCGTTAGCAAAAGGTACCAATTCCTTGACCGATAGACACCCTATCATACACAAACTGCTTCCTTAATACACGAAAATTATCGATCATCGGAGAGGAAAAGGCCAAATCGAGTCATAAGTTTGCATAATCAAAGGAGGATTACGAGAGCGACGGCGGAAACTAGTCCGAAGAGGGCGGCGAGGGCGTGGAAGATGCGGTCCTGCCACAGGGTCGAGTTGTTCACCTCCTCCCACCAATCCCAGCCGTCACGCAGCACGTGCGCCGGTACCGACGACGACGCCATGGGAGCTCCTCCGCTGGAGTCCAAATTTCCCGGCGGTCGGTCGCTCGCCGGGGATTCGCGATCCGAGGCCGGGGAGGGAGGGAGGAACGAGAAAGGGGACGAGGGGGAAAATATAGTTACCGAAAATATAGAAGATAAATAAATAAATAAACAAATAAATCGGACGAGAAAAGTCACGGCCGCGGGATCCGATCACCTCCCGCCGCAGCCCCGGGTGCGATCACCTAGCGACACGTGGCGTTAGCGGAAGAGCAGCTCGAGTAATTTAAATTAAGTAATAAAAATTATAATCAAGGAAAAAATATGATTCATAAATATATTTACATTTTTAATTTAAAATTAATATCTTTTCTTTTTGGGTTAATTTTCTAAAAAAACTCTAATTTTATTTTTTTTTCAGATATCGTTAATTTTTATTTTTTTAATTTCAAAAAATAACAAAAGTACGGCATCAACTACTTCTTTTTCAAACTCATTATATTGAATAAATCTAATACATCGAATCAACCTAAGATTTAATCGGCCCAAAATAAAGAATAATAAATTAATTAAATAATATATACTAGTAAAAAAAAAATAGCATTAGTATTAAAGTTACAAATATATATATATATATATATATACTATAAAAATAATAAAAATATGACAGAAGAATGGTATAATTACAACCATCTAATTTTAGCTTAAATTAACCAAAAATAAAAAAAAAAATCCAAACTTTTGAGAGTTGAATTAATCTAAATTGCTTTTTGATGGGGTTGCATTTTATATTTTTAGAGTTTCATAATATTTTTGGTATTTTTGGATGACCTCATTTACACTATTTTAAAATTTATATTACATTTTTCTTGCCCTATTTAAAAACATTGCAACCCTATTAAAAAATAGTAGAACTCATATCACATCTTTTTCATAATTTTTTAAGTTTTTAGAAAAACCTTATAAATAACTTACAAAATTTTTTAAGAGTATGGGATGTGAGTTGCACTATTTTTGAACAAAACCTCAAATAACTTAGGTTTATTATAATAAAAAATATTATAGTTTTAACATTGAATGAAGCCCTGATTGATTAATTTTTCTGTTTTTTGGTAATTAGAATATCTAATCCCGATTAATTCAACTCTTAAATATTATATTTTTATTTTTGATTAATTTAAGCTGAAAATATAAAGTTGCAATTGTGTCATTCTTTTGCCATAATGTTATTATTTTTATAATTTTTTTAAATATATAATTTTTAATATTAATTTTATTTATATATTAATATTATTTAATTTACTTATTATTTATTTTGAACTGGCTTAATTTTTTGTTTGATTCAATAGTGTTCATTTAATATACCTTTGTTATTTTTGAAACATGGGAAAAAAATAAAAATAGAGAGGAAAAAATATTTAAAATAAAAAATGTATCTTCTTTTTAAGTCTAATATTTTAAATTTGAAATACGATAAAAGATTCATGTAACCAAAGATAGATATTAAGTCTAGTATTTGGATTTTCTATCAAACATAGAAAGATATTGAAGGGTAAATAAGTATAGGACAAGTGGGGAGAGGAGTGATGTTAAACTTGTGATTGTTGGGTAGTTATCACTAATTAGTATTGAAGGTAAATGTACTAATTAGCGAGTTAATAACAATCACAAAAATGTAAATAAATAACAACTTCCTATAAGCACCACACATTATTACTATCCCAATAGCATTAACTACCTATTTCCTTGGTTTGGTGATATTGATATTTGATAAAATTAAAATTATTATTTTGAAATAATTTAACTTCAATTAATAATAATACAAATAGATTAATATATATTGAGTTTAATATAAAACATCATGCTTTATATTCAAGATGGCAGCCATAGAGGAAAGCTATTATTGTATGGGCAACTAATAGCAACCACTGAAAAGAGATTATTTACAATCCTCTTTCTTTCTTTTTTTGTTATTTACAACCTCATATTAAGATGTTTAAATATTTCTAATTTATTCCAAACATATCTATCTTCAATCTATAACTTAATTATAATAAAATCTTTTCCCTCTTTACCTATAACCTTTTTTTTCTTCTTTTCTTCTTTTTCTCCTGCTCCTCCTTCTCTTAACTACTTTCATATCTTGCATTAACCCAAAAGATATGAAAAAATAAAAAAAATAAATCTAGATGGGTTATGAATAGTAAAGTATAATTTATTATTTAAAAAATTTATGAATTATAAGAATGAGGCTCAAATTTTGATTTTTATAAGAGGTTTTTTTTTCAAAAATCACAATTAATGCCCTTGAATTTTGGTTGTTTTAATCTCGATTAATTTGCAGGCCGGTTGAGTTCAGTTAAAGTATCTTAGTTTGAGTTACCATAATTCAGGTCAGATCCCTTCAAATCTAAGTCGATCCAAATTCTTTACATTAAAGTTATACTCAGGTTATAATCAAAATACCATTGAGTTATATTGAAGATCTATTAAGAATATATTAATTTTTATATAAACTTATTCTAAATTCATCATAAAATAAAAAATAAAATAATTTGGTTAGAATTATTATTCTAGTATAATTCTTAAAATTTGATAATAATTATCTTAAACATATCTACGATAAAAATATTAGTTTTAAAATGAGTTAGGTAATCAACTTTAACTTATTTCAATATTGAGTGTAATTAAAACAATATATGAAATAGAAAATAGGAATTAAGGTTTTGTGATTAGTTTTATAATGAATTTAGGATTAATTTGATAGAAATTAATATATTTATTAACATGTCCCATGAACGAGTGTAACTTAAGTATAACCCAAGTTTAGCTTACGTGTAATAGCTTCTTTTGGATAATTTAAAATAATTTTGTATATAAATTAATATATTTTTTGTGAACTATAACTTGAGTTTTTATATGTAGAATAATTTTGATTTTATGATAAATTTATGATAATCTTATATAAAAATATATTTTTTAAACATGTGTAATTAAGTACAGAACATAACGATTTTTCTAGTAAAATATGAGGAGGAGGAGAAATAGAAGGAAAAGGAGGAGAGAGTGAGGGTGAATGAGATGACGACGAAAGTTGAGTGGGAAGAGAAGGAAGCCAAGAGGGAGGGAGGGAGACGAGACAAGTGGAAAGAGAAGGATGAAAAGAGTGACGACGATGGAAGCGGAGGCGGAGGCGACAAGCGAAGGTGATGGGTAATTTGAAAAAAAATCAAATAATAATATATGGTTCAATTAAATGTAATAATCATTTTTAAAATAATTTTATTAGAGATATTTGGGTCAAAACATTAAAAAAAGCCAATTCCTCTTGTAAAAATCATTAAAAACTATCAAAAGAATAGCTCAGCTGAGAATTAAGGAACGAAGAGCATTTACATCCTTCATGCTCAGGTTGTTGGACTCACCTAACTTCGTACCTGCCTTGTTATTGGAAGCTGTATGGACCTCATTGTAGGCCCACGTGGCCCACTTACTACGCTAAAAATCTAAAAATATTTTTGGGCAACGATAACTTTTAATATTTATCTGTACAGATCATACACAAAAATAAAAATAAAAATAAATTTATTTACATTATAATGATTTTGACAATATTGGGTTGCACTATTAACTGGCTTGGTAAGAATTGGGTAGGCCAATGGGTGCGTGTTTCAAGCCACCGCCGGCAGATGCTTTTAAAAGGGCCCAAAATGGAGGGAGGCGTGTCCGCCTCGAGGCCTCGATGAACTCCTCCGCCCTAGCGGCCGAACTCCTCCGTCGTAATGCCGGCAACCCGGCCCTGGCGTGGCGCCTCCTCAGGCACCTCCTCTCCTCCCCCGCCGCGCCCCTCCCTCCCCTCCGTCTCATTATCTCTCTCTCCCGCCTCCTCGTCGTCGCCCGCATGCTCCCCGAGCTTCACCATCTTCGGCGCCTCATCCTCCTCCCTCGCCACCCTCCGGCCGCTGTTCGCACTGCCCTCTCCGCCCTTGTCTCCGTCTCCGCCTCCGCTGGCCTCCTCGACGACGCCCTCGCCCACTTCCGCTCTCTCCGCTCTCAATTCCCCTCCCACCCTCCTTCCACCCGACTTTACAACTGCCTCCTCAACTGCTCCCTCCGAGCCCATCGCGCCGACCTCGTCGAGGTGCTCTACAGAGACATGCTTCTCGCTGGAGTTCCCCCCGAGACGTACACGTTCAATATTTTGATCTTTTCCTTATGCGACTCTGACCGTATCGAGGAAGCCCGGCTGTTGTTCGATAATATGCCATTAAAGAATTGCCAGCCAGATGAGTTCAGCTTCGGGTTCTTGATCTGCAGGTACTGTAAAGCAGGGCTCAGTCACAGGGCGGTGGAGCTTCTGGATGAGATGGAGAGACTCGGGCGCTCACCAAACATAGTGATCTATAATACATTAATTTCTAGCTTTTGCAAGGAGGGGTCCATTGGTGAAGCTGAGAAGTTGGTTGAGCGGATGAGAAAAGATGGTATTTTTCCTAATGTTGTCACTTTTAATTCTAGGATTTCTGCTCTTTGTAAGGCAGGTAAGGTATTGGAGGCTTACCAGATTTTCAGAGACATGCAGGAGGATAATGTGTTGGGTTTGCCAAGGCCGAATCAGATTACATTTAATCTGATGTTGGATGGATTTTGTAAGGGAGGCATGCTGGAAGAAGCCAGGGCCTTGGTGGAGTTGATGAAAGTTGGTGGATCCCTTACAAGTTTACAGAGTTACAATATATGGCTGTCAGGGTTGGTGAAGTGTGGAAGGCTGCTGGAGGCCCAACAATTGTTGGAACAAATGGTTCAACAGGGTATAGAACCTAATTCATACTCTTATAACATTCTTATTGATGGTCTTTGTAAGGAAGGGATGATTTATAGTGCTAGATCAGTGATGAATTTGATGAAAAATAATGGAACGTCACCGGACCCAGTAACTTATAGCAGTCTACTCCACTGGTACTGCACAAGAAGGAATATATCAGGGGCCATCAAGATTCTTCATGAGATGACTAGTAGTGGATGTTTTCCCAACAGTTTTTCTTGCAACATCTTATTGCAAAGCTTGTGGAAAGAGGGGAGGATTTTGGAGGCAGAGAAACTATTACAAGAGATGAATAAAAAAGGATATGGTTTAGGCATCGTAACATGCAATATTGTCATAAATGGTTTGTGTGAAAATGGAAAATTGGACAAGGCAATTGAAATTGTTAATAGCATGTGGCAGCATGGAAGTGCAGCCCTTGGTGAACTTGGAAATGCATTCCTCGGTTTGGTGGACGACAGAAATGAAAAGAAAAAATGTTGTCCTGGTCTAATCACCTATTCAATTTTGATTAATCACTTGTGCAAGGCTGGAAGGTTAGATGAAGCTAGGAAATTATTACTTGAAATGATGGGGAGGAATGTTGCTCCGGATTCGATAATCTATGACATTTTTGTACATGGATTTTGTAAGCAGGGAAAGGTGTCATCAGCTTTTAAAGTTCTAAGAGACATGGAAAAAAAAGCATGCAGACCAAGCACAAGAACATACAACTTACTGATATGGGGTTTGGGTAAAAAACACCAAATAGAGGAAATACTTGACTTGATTAATGAAATGCAAGAAAAAGGAATCCCAAAAAATGTTAGAACTTATAATAACCTAATCCATGCTCTCTGTGATAGAGAAATGGTAGATAAAGCTGCTTCACTTCTAGAAGAGATGCTTCATAATTCCATTCTTCCTAACATAACTTCTTTCAGCATGTTGATCCGGGCTTTCTGCAAGATTTCTGATTTTGATGCAGCTCAAGCCATGTTTCATGGAGCTTTGACTGCATGTGGACAAAAGGAAGTGCTCTATAGCTTAATGTGCAACGAGTGTTTCCTGTATGGAAAGATATCAGAGGCTAAGGAACTTCTTCAAATCGCTCTAGAAAAGGAGTTTTCCCTGGAGCATTTTCCGTACAAAAGTCTTATTGAAGAACTTTGCAAGGAAGACAGGATAGATGATGGGCACAGTTTAATCAATACAATGATTGCTAAAGGTTATGTGTTTGATCCTGCAACATTTATGCCAGTGATTGATGCACTAGGGAAGAAGGGAAACAAACAAGAGGCTGACAAACTTTCAGAGAAAATGATGGATATGGCAGCTCATCATGATGGATCCATGGTTTCTTTTTCTGATCGTCTACATGGTGACTCAGAGAATAAACATCAAAAGCAAAAGCAAGAGCAAGAGGTTTCTCTTGGAAGCGATTGGCACAATCTTCTACACAGGTATAAATATTCTATTTCGTCTTTTTGTTTGCAATTTCTAGGAACTTCAAATATTATTGGGCACATGTGAATATGAAAAGGTTTGACAATCTACATGTTTTGGTTTCTTCTCCTTTAAATGACAGTTCAATTATGAAACAAGGAAAGTGTATTTAGTAGGCCAATCTAGAAATCACTACATAGGTCTCCTGACAGTTATTCTTCAATTTAACTGTTTACTGAATCTATCATAACAGTTTTGTAATCATGCCTGTATATGCAGAGATGATGGAAGTGGAATAGCTATGAAACTTCTAAAGAGGGTGCAAAAAGGTTGGGGTCAAGGAAGCATACCAGCCCCACGGCCACAGAATTTTGATCTTGTTGATGAGTGGGAGATCACCAATTGATTCAAATGTGGAATAAAATGGTTGGTTTTAGCCTGCGCAAATGTCTCAAATTTTGCTCCAGATCCTGTATTTGATACTCTCGCGGGTAGTTGGTGCTCTTTATGCCTTGTTTATTAATTCAGGACATGGCATTAAACCTCAGCTCCAAACTGTTACCTCAGAGAAGCATGGTTTCCCAAAATGGATCAGTTGCAGACCTTGTTCTAACATGCCCTGAAAATCCTTTCAGGTTTGTTTACTGTGCTTAATTTTTTGTCTTTTTAGCTTGAAAATGGGATAATATGGGTTTGGCATGGTTGCTGACAGACTGTTTAGAATGTTTGTGGGGTAAAAGGGGGGCATATTTAGAATTTAATTAGAAATGAATGGTGGTAACCCATATTAAAAAGAAGAAACAGACATCCATAAATAACAAGTTCTACAGAGCTATAAAGTCAGTAAAGGCTTCCATTATCACAGATATGGTACATAGCCCATGTGTCTTTCTCATGATGAGATGCTTGCTGTCTTATGTCTGCAATTTGGTAAATATAGTGTGGATCAAAATAAAAATAACTTTGTAGCTTAGTCATATCTGGTTAGCATATTGAATCTTTGACTATTTTGTAGATCCTATAAATTTGTCCTGAAGTTCTAGCCTGCTGAAAGTTTTGTAACATGATGCAGGAGTTTAGTTTCATGTGTCATCAAAGGGGCAATCCTTAAAAGGGCTTACATTATCATTTTTAAGCTGCATTTTGTCTTCGACATCACTTCAAACTGGCACAGGTGGCTAATAGTAATACAACTTTGATGCTTATTCTTCTCTTTTGGTAATTGTTGCGGTTTATATACATCTTTTGATTAATTATTTATTGCCACATAGGTGTTTTTTCTGCCTTAGGCATCCTAAAACAATTTGTGTTTGGAAGGGACAAGAAAACTACTTCAGCAGCAGCATATCAAACTAAGCTGTTGGGCTCAGTAATTATCATTCAGCACTCTGGTATGTTAAAAATAGTTCTTAATGATCATGATGTTTCAAAATCTTCTTATTGTGATTTAATAAACTAGGAAAGTGGAAATAAGTTGCAAGTTACCATGTTACATATAGATTATGAGTAGAAGATGCCTAAATTGCTATGTGTAGGTTGCCAAGGATTGTCGGTACCCGTTCCGATGATCTGGTTAGACCTGGTCAGACGGGTACATATCAGTCAGTATTGGTGTCTCGTTGTCAGTATGTATCGTTGTTTCGAAGAGGAAGAAAAAGAGGGAGAAGAGAAAGGGGCGACGGAGGAACTAAGGAGGAGGAAGGTGTAAGATGAAGGAAGAAAGGGAGGCAATGGAGGAAGAAAGAAGAAGGGGAAGCAGTGGAGGAGGAAGATCAAGCGATGGAGGAGGAGAAGGATGAAGGAAGAAGCGGAGGAGACAAGGCAGGCATATGTATTAGAGAGATAAACAGAGGTAAATGGGCAGGCGATGTCCATTAACAACGGCGACAACAACGACAATGACGTCGTGAGAAATAAGAGGAACAATAGTACTGAATCACTTGAAACTAGAGCGATTCGTGTACCGATCCATGCCCGGACTAGTACGTACTTCCTGTATCTTCTTTATCTTCTAGGACAAGAAATTTGATACTTGCTGTTTTATCCTACTAAAAAATATCATCTTCTCAATACATGTCTCTAATACCTTCATTTTGATAAGTTCTCTTGTGGCATGTCTATATTCTCATTCAATCCCTGTGAATGAATGGCAATGTGTGGCTTTACTTTGTTTCCTTGCACAGTCGGAAGGTAATTGATTAGAATTTATTTTCAGAAGTTTCATCTGAGTATTTGGAGTATCGAAAAGAAATAAATTTAGTGCAATTAAATTTGTAGTATTAACTTCAACAAAGTTGAACATTGGTTATGATCTAAAACACAATCCTTTCATGTTTTGCTCAGGCTTCGGACTACTTAAACAAAATACATACACAATTGGAGTCAATAAGAGGATCCTTTAAGAAAAAAAAAGGAATTCAGTCAACATTATTTTGACTTGTCATTTCCACTCAGTGGATTACAATGGTGAGAAAAGATCCATGTAACATACTGCACTCAGCTGGGGTTCATAGCATGCTGTTTATTCATATTACATTTGTATAATTTCTGATAACCATTTGAAAACCTTTTCTATTCTAGTTAGCAAATGCAAGAACAGTCACCAGATACTCCTGCCTCTTGTTTGATCACAGTATCCCAATTTTGGTGGAGAGGGATAAGGGAGGACAACCATAGGCAGAGGCAACTTGCCGAATATTGCTCATCTTCCATTGACAATTCTTGCTTGATGAATCCTGGAACTGGTGTGGATGAGCATAACATTGTATCATAAAGAAGACCGACTTCCCATCAGTTCTTCAACAAGAGTCATACATCTCATCATCACAAGATTACATGGTACGATTTTGTCAATTTTGGCAATAAAGTTTCATCTCCTCTGGAAGAAATAATTCAACGCTTGAAACGGCATCACGAGAGGATAATAAACTGCGGACATGGATGGTGTTAAAATGAGTTTTGTTAGATGTTCCACTTTGTTCATTTTAATTAGGGTGTATAAAGATCTGCTTGTTTCATTTGTAATAAAGTTTTATTGATATTAATTGCCCTGTATTTACTTGACTCTATACTTCCGGATTACCTTTGCTTTGCAGCGTTGCAACATGATGTGTATGCACACTGATCAAATAATTACTTTTATTTGATCCAATTATTTTTTATATTAATCGAGGTAGTTCAGTTTGAAAAGTTGATATAGCCCTTTATGTATGTCTATATAAATAAATATATGAATATACTTTATTTCATTCTCTTAGTCATAATAGATAATGTAATATTATTATACATAATATTACTAATATAATATATTTAATCAACATGAGTTTATTATTATACATATTTTTTATTAAATTGATGGTTATCATAATAACACTATAGAAAGTAATATTTTCAAATATATTTTGATTCGAAACTAGTTTTCAAATATACAAGATAATTGACGCAACCAATAGTAACACAGTATCGATTGCATTATTTCTCGATTGAAGCAGATTTTGAACATTACATAGAACTGTAAGTTGTGCCTCCAACCCAATCGCTTCCTTAAAAAACTAATATATATATATATATATATATTCGTGGATAATTCGAAAAAAGGCCTCCAAAGGTGACGTTTCTAGGGTTCGAGTCGTCCCTCTCGTTCGCTCCCTCGCCTCGCCTCCGAAACACCACCTCGATCTCCTGCTTTGTTCGTCAACATGGCCGCCGCCAGCACCGCAGTGCCTCGGAGCCGGCAGCCGCCAGGCCGCCCCATGGACGACGAGAACCTCGTCTTCGAGACCAGCCCCGGGGTGGAGGCCATCACCAGCTTCGACCAGATGGGCATCCGCGACGACCTCCTCCGCGGGATCTACGCTTACGGGTTCGAGAAGCCCTCCGCGATCCAGCAGCGGGCTGTGATTCCCATCATCAATGGCCGCGACGTCATCGCCCAGGCGCAGTCCGGTACCGGGAAGTCCTCTATGATCGCCCTGTCCGTCTGCCAGATGGTCGATACCTCCATGCGAGAGTATGATTTGTATCTTTTTTTCTTTTACCTCGATTTCCTTCCTTATTGTTGTCAATTTTTCTTTCTCATTCTTATTTGTGTTAGGTTTATAGGCTAAGTTTATATTTGGTTTATGTCATGGGAACTGTACACTTGATTTCGACTATTTCAAGCTTGGTTGATGGCTGGGATTATTGGTTGCAGAAACTTATATGACCTATTGTCCATCGGGATTGTTAGTTGCATCTTTTTCCTTTTTAATGGCATAAGAGGTTGCTTTGGAAAATTATCAAACATACTTTAGAGAAGGCTGGACAATCATGTCAAATTGTGAGTATTATTCTTTTGGGTTAAGCTAGATGTAAAAGCAGTTTGACAATTGGTAGAGTGTAGACATGACTGGAGCTCCCCAGTTACATATTTTTGCATTTGACCAGCACATGATTGATTTTTCATGTTGAGGGATGTTTGGATTTCTACCAAGAGACCAAGCGACTTTCTCTTTTCCCAAATGAAAATTGTTGCGTGAACGCCATTTCTTGTGTAACCTAATTGTTTGGAGATGCATTAATAGAACAAGCTTCAATCTGGATCATTTTAATGTGGATTCTTTAAAGCTGAAATTATATGTTATTTTGCTGTTGCATTTTTTTTCCACGTGCAGTGCAATAGTAAATAGGGGTTGAAAGGGGTACAGGAGCTAGGTTGGATGAAGGAATAGCATGAGAAAAGATTGTGTGCTGGATAAATATAATTTAGTCTCTTCAAATAAATTATGGCTTAGAACTTTGTCTTTCAGCAGATCACCTCACTATATACAAATTGTATTGTGCCATAGTTTGTAGTATCAGCTCATTCTAATACAATAAACCCTAATCAATTCGGTATTGTAGATGAATTATTTGATCTAGGCCAATTTTTGAATCTTATAACAAAAGACAATGTTGTGAACATCTAATTGGATCCTCATATTTAATAGCAAAATTGCTAGTTGTCTTAGTACAAGTACATCTTTTGCGGGAAAAAATTATAGGAGTGGCAGATCAAAACAGTTACATTTAACAACCTATATATCTAAATGATTAGAAAATACGTCCTCCTCAAGTGTTTAAATGCAGCATTTAGACTATAGAAAATGGAGTTCTAACTTTTCAAAACAATGTATATATGGACACAAAGCAGTAAAGATAAAAGAATATATGAGATAACAATGAAATTAATGGAGAACAATTTATTAAATTAACTAATTACATACAAATGGATATAATAACCCAACAACAAAGATTAAACATCAAGAAGATTTTGCAACTTGTCTCCGACATTCTAGTGAAAGCATTTCGTGAGCTTGATATATGTGGAATTATTTGTACTTTGTAGTTAACAATTAATCAATTCAGAAGTTTATTGAATAATTTAGTTTGGTTTTCTTTATTCATTTAGCAGCTTGTGGTATGTAGAGGTGGTAATAGTAAAGGGTATTTATGTCAAGTTCTAAGTTTTATTTTTCTATCTAAATTTCATATAATTGTGGTAGGCATGAAAATCCTGTTGCTTTTTCATGCATAACCAAAAACCCAAAAACCTTAATAGTGTAGTAAATCATACCATATAGTGTAAATTATGGACAGTATTATTCCTACAAGTATGCTAAGGAATGACGGTAGAGGATGATGTATGGAACTGTGACTTGAACTAAATATGAAGTTGTGTAGATATATTTATATTATTTTCCTTTTTGGAATTCACAACCAAATGTCTCTCTACATCCGACCACTATTCAAGACCCCTATGTAGCAGAACATAAGCCAACTTGCACGGTAAGAACCTTTGCCATGATTATAACTGAACGATGTTATGCATGAACAGGCTTTATAATATCTTGCAGAATAAATAAATGTCGTAATGCGATTCACTTTTGCCTATCCACTTATCTATGTTGTGAAAAAAACACATCATTTCTCTGCATTGATTATTAATTCTATCAACATGAAACAGAGGCTAAACTTCATTAGTAACAGATACTTTATATTTAAGAAAGATGATATGTTGTAGGGATAAATATCAATTAATGAGCCGATGCAAAAAACATTTTAATGATCAAAATCATAAGCCTACTTGGATATCACATTTTCTGCAGATTGAATATTTGCAATTAATAGTTGCAACTTTGGAAAAGTGAACCTGGAAAATCTTTTCTTATATGATGTATGGGCATATTTATGACATTTATATGTTTTATAATATCTGAACTATTTGAGATCGATATATGTATCTTTTCCTGCCATTGTGGTTTAATGCAATATTTCTGATTAAAATATTCGTATCAGATAGTTAATAAAAATAAATACATGTCATACCTGATTCACCATTCTGCATTCACATGATTCACCATTATTAAAACTAATCTGTTTAAGTTCAAGCATTTCTTTTTCAGAGTGCAGGCACTTATTCTGTCACCTACTAGAGAACTTGCTGCCCAGACTGAGAAGGTGATATTGGCTATTGGTGAATACATAAATGTGCAAGCCCATGCATGCATTGGTGGGAAGAGTATAGGGGAAGATATTAGAAAGCTGGAGTATGGTGTTCATGTCGTTTCTGGGACGCCAGGCAGAGTCTGCGACATGATCAAAAGGAGGACCTTACGAACAAGAGCTATCAAAATTTTAATCCTTGTTCGTTTTCCCCTTGTTGTCATCAGTTTGATTATCTAAGCAATATCTATTTGATCTTTTGAGCTAATATTGTGTTATTGGTATAGGATGAAGCTGATGAGATGCTGAGTAGAGGCTTTAAGGATCAGATATATGATGTATACAGATATCTTCCTCCTGAACTTCAGGTTTGGTTCAAGAATCAGAATTTCCTTTGCCCTTGTTCACTATTATCAGCTTTTATTACATGGGTATAATTATTACTTCAATTGGTGCAAGCAAATAATTCCATGCCTCTATAAGATAGGAATCTCAAACTTGCTAGGTGAGCTTTCATCACAAATATTTGATTCTTGGGGTTGTCTCGAGTTCTAATAACAATTTCCATGATTATCCTCATGAAGTTTTATATGGAGAGTGAAATTAAGGTGGTACAAGGAAGACCTGGGTGGAAGAGGAGGGTTAGTATATGAAATACAAAATAAAAGAGGTAACCAGCATCTTAAAAACCTGTCAGACCAGGAACCAACACTCGAACCGGGAGATTTCGTCTAATCTGGTTTAAAATTGTTTTTTTTAAATTTTAATATAATCTTCTGCCTTCTGTTGGCAACTGTTTTCATTGTCGACTGCAAGTCTTCCAATTCCTCAGCCTCCTCTTTCTTGTTCTCCTCGTTTTTTCCTTCTTCTCTCCTTCACCTTGTGCTTCTCCTCTCATTCTTCCCTCTCCTCATTCTTATTCCATCTTCTTCTCTCCCTTCTTTTCTTTGACATGTGCTACTAATGGATAATATTTTATTGAAGAACAAGATTTTATAAAAGGAAAGTCTTCTTCCACTTAAATTAGCATAGGGTATACATAGTATATGTTATTGGAATGATTTGAATACTATCTGAGTTATGTTTGGGATTGTTGGTGGTGTCATCTTCTTCTGTTCTTCCTTTCTCTCTCTATTATCTTCCCAATCATCCACTTGTCATGAAAGTGACATCTGGGCAGGATTAGGGGTTGGAAGTTTTGAATCATGTATTATGTTCGTGAGATGATAAGCACAAGTTTAGTTGTTTTTCGGCCTATTAGTTGGGTTATTATCTTGTCTTTGAATTTTCTTACTCTATTCTTTCCCAGTCATCCGCTCTGTACCAATCATTTTTTATCATTCTAGCTGTTCCTATCGAACTCCAATCTACAACCCCCATATGTATTTTTTGATCACATGGTAGACCAACACATTTTCTGGCACATGTGCGACATATTGGAAAGTTTGATAATGACGCAGGATATGAAAGAAATTCTTGGGTTCCTACAAGTGCTTCCTCAAAGCTCGAAATCAAGAACACATATAAGAAATTTTGCAAGATGAGTTTTCCATGGCAGAGAAACAACTAGATTGAGCTAAAGATGTCAGATGAATCCCATATGATCTACATGAATACACTAAAGGCGTTGGAGAAGACAGCCAATATGCATCAAAGCATCATTGCAGGGTTATTAGGAAATCAAGTATTATTGATGATGGATCAAGCGTCCTCTGTGACTGATCTTCTGATCTTAGCAACTGTGCCTATCAAATGGTGAACTGGTGATCTGCCTATGTGGTCATGATGCATATGTCAGGGCCAAGTTGACACTCATATGATAGCATAAGATCTTGGTTAAATTGCATTCATATATAGATTTCGCTACTTATCCAACTAGATTATTGCATTCTTTAGGTAATTATTTAGATATTTCTGTAATAATCTCAATAAGAGTTTATGGTAAAATGAAGGTGAGGGTCAAGAACTGCGAGGGATTGAGGTCACTATAACCATCACATATAGGTCCACTGGATTATGACAGTTTATTTAGAAAGCTGTTTTAGGCATTCTTGGTTTAGGTAATTTGGGAATCTTAGAACTCTGATGGTCAAGGAGACTTTTGATGTCTTGGATTTTTTTTCCCCATCTTGTTCTTCCAACTTTTAAGCCCTAGTAACAAAGTCTTACTTTTGTTTGTGCAACAGCATAAATGATATTACATGTCATTGGTACATATGATTTATTTCTGTAGGTTGCTCTGATATCCGCAACACTTCCTCATGAAATTCTGGAGATCACCAACAAGTTTATGACAGATCCCATAAGAATTCTTGTCAAGCGTGATGAATTGACACTGGAGGTAAAGTATTTTCTGAATTTTATTATCAAATCTTATCTTATTCTTTTATGATTGCTAACCTTTTCATGCTATCACTCCAGGGTATCAAGCAATTTTTTGTTGCAGTGGAGAGAGAGGAGTGGAAATTTGATACGTTATGTGATCTCTATGACACCCTTACTATCACTCAAGCTGTTATTTTCTGCAACACAAAAAGAAAGGTGATATACAAACCATTAGATTTAGGCAGTCAGTATGGTCCTGATTTTGAAGCAAGCTGTTACAAATGTTTTAACCTTTTGTATTTGCGCAAAAAAATGTTTGAATTTTTAATCTAGCATACTAGTGCGTTCTCATTTTTCTCCATATACTTAAGGCATCTCTAAAAAGTGTATCTGCTGAGTGGAAGAAACTTATAATAACAGCCTTGTCAACTGAAAACACAAATCCAGTTTTTTTACTACCTTCAAATATTCTTTTATGAAAATTAGTTTACTTATTAACTGTTTATTGTTCCTCTATTTCTAGCCTTTATTTTTTTGGGTTTTCTGAATCTGATAGCCAATAAAGGGGAGTGCTTCATTTAATGTAAGAAAAATCAACATTATAAACAAGTGAACAGTCCAAAACTTTTTAAACAATCTGCAAATTAGTATGACATGCTTTAAGTTGCTAAATAAATAGGTACAACGTGACACATGTGGCTTTCAGGGTATGTTGCGTCTAAGTTCAAAAGTAGATAATAAATCAGAAATATATAGTTATAGATAAAAGAACTTTACAAATTATTGGGGAAGTACTGCATCCTTATCAATGAATTTGTTCAAAGTGATGTTTTCTTCATTAGTTCTGCAGTCATACAAAACTCATTATCAATCAATAATAGTGATATATCAATTTTAATAAAATCATGGTATGTACTTAGGATAACTGCAATTGCTGTATATTAGAAGACAGATTGATATCTTCTTGGGCAGCCCATGACTTGGATTAGAAACCCATACATACATTAACACTGATTTTGGTTGTGTATATTCCCAGGGTTGAATACAGAGGGATATGAATCTAGGCTTTAGGAACCGAAGCTGTATTGGAAGGGTTTTATTAAAAATCTTTTTAACATGCCTAGTGTTAAGAATAGTTGTGGCAAAACATTGTATTCTTTGTACAGAATGTTGATTTTAGCTTTCCAAAGCCTTCTTCAAGTTCATCATAGTCGAAGTATTGCCTGTATGCATATCGTGAGCACATAATATGGTATCCACTGCTTTCAGCTATCAATGAAGGCATCTTTAATCAATCAATGCAACATACATTATTGGATGATAAGAAAAAGGAAAGGGAAACAATGAAGTTACCTGAAAAACATTGTTTGAGCATGTTTCTTGGGTACCACCATTGACAGTCATGTAAACTGTGCTTCTTTTCCCAATTACTAGCAACACAGACATCATCAGCCATGTTTCTCGTGGAAACAAAATATTGATATATCATCATAAAACTTTCCTGATGTCTACTTAAGAATGAACAAACATTTTTCTTTGGAGATAAACTAGATTTAAATTTATTTTCTTGAAGTTAACCAAGGCTCCATTGTTTGTCTTCTTACAATAATTTATGGTGTACCTTTGTGTTACTTGCAAGTTAGATTGATTGTGGTGCTAATTGTTTCTGGCAGGTTGATTGGTTGACTGAGAAAATGCGCAGTAACAACTTCACAGTATCTTCTATGCATGGCGACATGCCCCAAAAAGAGCGAGATGCAATAATGGCAGAATTCAGGTCGGGGGCTACTCGTGTGTTGATTACTACTGATGTATGGGCAAGGGGGATTGATGTCCAGCAGGCAAGATCTTGTTCTGAAAACCTTTTTAGTAGTTTTTCATAGTATTGTAGTTAACTGTGTGATTGATTACATGTGAGTCCACTATAATACCCCTTTTCTGGAATTCAAAAAGTACAGTTTGATTTTTAATTTTTTTTTTACAGCAATCTCATAATCTCTTCCAAATAATATTTTTTATATTCTTTGCAATGGGCAGGTATCGTTGGTAATAAACTATGACCTTCCAAACAACCGAGAACTCTACATACATCGGATAGGTCGTTCAGGACGTTTTGGGCGCAAGGTAAGAAGTTTTTTTTTCTTGTGAGATTACTTTTTGTGAAAAGTTTGATCTCTGTGTCTTTGTCTTTACTTCTCTCTCCCTCCCCCCTCCTTTTCGTTGGTCATATAGAAAATAGAAACCTTCTCAAAGAACCATGAACCAACTGAATCACCAAACTAGGGCACCACCTCAACCAATGCCAATGATCTTCCCCGAGATGCCTAGTTACCAAATACATTTTCCTGGCTAAATTTCTGAGAAGCTAGGTTTCGGACCATGTTGACTTCATCAGAAAAGGCACTGCCTTCTCTGTGAAAAATTTCTGAGTGAAAAATGATTTGTTTTTACCCCCCAATAAATGGTTATGTATGGGGTTTTGTAGGGTGTGGCGATAAACTTTGTGCGCAAGGATGACATCCGTATACTAAGAGACATCGAGCAGTACTACAGTACTCAGATTGATGAAATGCCAATGAATGTTGCCGATCTCATATGAATACTCGATCCAAGGACAAGACGTTTACCTCTGTGGGAAACACTGCAACAATTTGCTTCTCGACTATTATCGTTAAACCAGTTGTGTGATGGTTCTGTATTGCTGTTGTCTGCTGGAGTTGATGATTGCTTACTTTCTGTAAACTAAGCCTGTAAATTTTCTGGGATTCTGCGGAGCTTGATGGTTATATAACTTCCTGCTAGGAGTAACTGGAGGATTGTAATCTTGGGTGTCTGTGAACCTAAATGTCTGAACTAATTTTTCCTGGTATCTTTGACTTGTTTATTCTTTTTCAACATAGAGATAAGGTGGTCACGTTGACCATTGACACCATGGTCAACGGCCCCACACGGAGAACCTTTGTATTTTCAAAGGTAAGACTTCGTGCGTCCACTTTCCTCGCATCCACGTCGGTCCAGTGGATTATTACTCTCGAATGGATCACAGGTCTAAAATTTTTAAAAGTAATATGTAATTATGTAAAATATTTAACATGCAAAGAATATAGCAAAATGCTATAAAAATAATCTTATAACAAAAATAAACAACGTAAAAGATGATATTTGAGGTGGGATAATGATAGTTCCTATATCAGAACCTTCCTATCAAGAGTTAAAGATCATTATCACCTCAAGCTAAATGATGGTTACCACATCAGAACCTTTCTATCAAGGGTTACCACCTCAAGACTGTGCACTAGCGGCCACCAACTACCCTTCACTTCAAGCCAAATTGACTAATTAGCAATTTTGCATTTATTATTTGAAATTTAAGTTATATATATATATATATATATTATAGTAGGACATAAAATATTGCGCACAATATATTATTGCTTCGTTAGCTGTTGTCAGTTAAATATTGGTTTAAATAAACTAATTTGGATTTATAAAATGATTTGAGGATCACCAAAATTTATAATGATAAATATATTCACCAACTTCTCCATCTCTCATCCTTCATTACAGGCAGCTGCTACTGCTGATCTGCTGCTGCTTGCTGGTCTCCTTCCTCCTCGTTTGGTTTGTTGTGATCAGATCGGATTCAGATCGAATGGCGAGGGCGGGAGGGATGACGAACGCGGTGAACGTGGGGATCGCCGTCCAGGCCGACTGGGAGAACCGCGAGTTCATCGCCAACATCTCCCTAAACATTCGCCGCCTCTTTGACTTCCTCCTCCAATTCGGTCTCTCTCTCTCTCTCTCTCTCGTTTCGCTTTGATGCAAATTAGGTGGTTGTGCTTGGGATCTGATCAAGGTTAACCCCTCGATCGTGAGATACCAAGTGAAGTCTATCATCTGATATGGGAATCGTGACCCCGAGACGATGCGGATCCAGGTGTTGGAAGATGGAGGGATTCGGAAATGGTACTGTCGGCGGATGTATTCTTCAATTTATTGGGTTCAGGGCGTGGTCAATTCATCGTCTTTTTGTTGGATTTGTTTTGAGATGCTGATATTATCGCTAATGCTGCATACTTTAGGATCTAGGTCTTGTAATCCTTCTGTCTTTGGCCAATTGTCAAGCAAGCAAAGAAAGAAAAAGAGGGAAAATGGTTGAAGTTAGGATGCTCGCAAAAGCTTGGGAATTGTCACCTTGTAGATGACCAAAATAAGATGAAAGGACAATATGGTTGCCTCTAAATAGTAGAAAAAATGGGAAGAAATTTAGTGAAGTTGAGGAAGCTTGGATTAAGTCTCTTTCTTTTGATCTCTGAAATGCTCACTAGAACTAAAATAGAAATGCAGAAGGCTCTTGTAGGATGTAAACTCCTGAGGACAAGTCTGAATCCAGTAGCCGGACCCCTGAAGTCCAACTTTGGCTGTGCACTGCCGATGAATTGATGTAGTTGTTTTCTAGATTATGTACAGGCATGAATAGTAGGAGAATCAACTTTTCTTTTTTTCTCTGTTTGCAGAAAATTTAACTTTCATAAAGTGAAAATAAAGTTCAGAAGAACAGCTGCTTAGATATCTAATTAGAAGTTGTATATATATAATTGGATAAAATTTAAACACCTATTCCATGGAAGCATGGAGCAAAGATCTAGCATGACACGCTCAAGCTTAAATGGTGATGTTGAGCGGCAGCAAGTCATGATATGGCAGAGTGTTTTTTTAGTGCTATAACATACTATCTAAAACTATAATAAAAATAAGTTTGGTTAATTTTTGGCAACATTAGATTTCCATTTGTTCAATAATTTTGGTCAAGAATAGGTTATCTTAATAAACTATTCTAGTTTTCTAAAACAATGTAATTACAGTCACATAAATTTGTTTCTGCTTTTGTAGGTCTATAAGTTATGTTGTACATTATATGTTATTATGTTCTCAAGGCCAAGGCTAATGATGTATATCTATTAAATTACCTTAGATGTCCTTTTAGCTTAGTTTGTATTTCTTGCCCTAGACATTTTCCACATTTTTATTTGTCGTGGGAGATTTTGGACAAGTAATAAGTTGCTAGGTGGCAGCATAGTGGCAATTTGAGATGACTAAACAAAATGGATAAGATTGCATTCCTACCAAGGAATTAAATTCATTTGGAATTAAGTGTATTGAGTTCTTAACAAATTATTGTCTGATTGGCATCAAGGTAGATGTGGTAGATGGTTTGCCAAGAGATATTAGAAACTAAGACATGCTTGGAAGGAGGCAGATTAATTCTTTCTTGCATTTCAAGAATTTCATACTTTTCACCTTATGCTAAATCAATATGTCTTTTGTCACTGTTGAGACATTCGGATTGGTTAGTGTATTGTTGCACAAGTGATGAGTATCAAATTCGAGCTCACGTGTGAGCATCATATATGCCATTGAACGTAATGAAAATATTTTTAAAATTTTTAAATTTTAAAAAAATCAATATGCCCTTTGAGTGGACATAAATGTCACTTACAAGAATTTTTTTGGACATAAAAGTACTCAATTGCTAGACATCTGCATCCTTTGATTGAGGAAAGCTATTACCTCATCTGAAGCTGTGATATGAGTACTCAATATTGCAGGAGGTTTCCCATGGATATAACTTGTTAAATTTACTCCCTTTTTCGATGATTATATCTTTGTTCTTCATCCATATGCATCAGTTGTAACTTGTAAGCATGACATCTTTTGCTGCTTCCAATACTTGGACTGACTGGTGTCTTTGGTGCATGGCATTCTACAAATACTTTTTTGATATCATGAGAAACATCCGTAGATAGAAAACCGAAAACACACATGGCTATGATGAATGTGTTGGGCCTAATTAGAGAGTCTAGGCTATTGAAATCTATTGAGAATAACTCATTTTTTCATTAATGCACCCATGCATGTGTTTTGATTCTTCATGATTTCATTCTTATGCTTTTCCAGAGGCTACAACAAAGGGCAAGCTGGCTGCATTGAATGAGAAGCTTGATGTCTTAGAGCATAGGTTGCAGGTGCTTGAGGTCCAAGTCAGCAGTGTAACAACAAATCCCTCTGTGTTTAACTAAGTTGTACTTCTGATATGTTCTCTGATACTGTAACTAGATTGTTAGACCTCTGGAAATTACAACCTATCTTGTCAATTTCACACATCGTTTTTCAATATGGCCATGGGGATTTTATATGCCTCTTATTAAATCTTGATAATGTAATTTGTTGAGAGTGTGACAGTATGTCAACCATTGAAATTTATTGAGATGATAAACTTGTGGCTTCTGAGCCTTTTGACTCATCTTAAAAATGATGAACAGATTGGTTGATAGATACATTTCACAGTAAAAATAACTTAAAATCTATACAGCTTTTCTGTGTTAGCTGGATCTTAAATCTGTCTTATTTGGATGGATCTAGGTTGATAACAATTGAAGGTATTCTAGTCACAGATGCACGAACTAGTTATTGCCGTTTAGCCTTCTGTTTCTTCACAAAATATGTTAACAAGCCTTTGACATTTACATGAATCTGATATTAATTTCTATGAATGATTGTGAATCAGGTAAACAGTCTTCCTACCCATAAGAAATCTTGGAAACTCCTGTGAGTATTGTGTTGCATCTGCATTCTTATGTGATTCTATGTTTTACAGAATCTGATCGAATTCGAGTACATAGCAACCTCTGTCCCATATTGTCAAGTCTAATTTGGATCCAACTTGAAATGCTTATAATTTGATCTGATGATATAATATTATTAAAAATTGATTAGGGATGATGGTGGATTAATTTTTTTTAGTACTTGATTTTGTTCAACCGATTTAACCAAGATTTGGATATCCTTACGGTCTAATTGCTCCATTTTTATTAATCTGATTCAGGTTTCATAACTGTTAGATATATCATCTCAATGTTAAAATTGTTGAAGTGTTCAAAACTGAACCAGCTTATAAAATGTATAATAATTAGTAAGACTTATGTAAAATTGCTACAGAAAAGTTTGATCAAACAGGTATAAGACCTTATTATCTGAGCTGATATGACAAACTTCTTGCTAAAGAGTATTAATCTTTTAGGTAAATACTGCTATACTTGTAGCAGGAGAAGCTTCACCACCAGATCACAGGAAGGAACAGAGAGCTTCATTACCTTCACCAATGTATCAATGTCAGCTTCATTCTCAGCGACATCGTTCACTGTCAGATGCATTGTTTACTTCATCCATGGAGTTTGAGACGCCGACAAGAACAGATACAACACCTGCACTCGACTTCTGTGGTCTGTACACTGTAAGATGCGGAAAGTGAGCTCCCTCCGCAGATATACTTACCATTGTCTTCCCTCTTCCTGCATGCTTCAGTGCCCAATTAGTGGACTGTCTGTACTCAAAAGCTTGTCGATGGTCGGTCCGTGAACTGTCGCAGGAACAAGCTTTGCCAAGCAGAAACTAAGGGAGCGTTTGACTGCACCTATAAAAGAGAGATATTCTCAACTGCATAGCAGATGAGATTTCCTAAACTGCATCAGGAAATCTCTCTGCTCAGTTAAAGAAATATCCTCTTTCACTATGTATAAATAGACTTCACATGATACTACTTGAAGTGTGCTTTTTTGCTTTATCCTTATAATTTCATTCTTCATTCTATCATGGTATCAGAGCGGCGTTCTCCTCTTTGAGTCTTTCAACCTCACCCATCAGCTTCACGTCAGGTCATGGAAGCTGCTGCTGCAACATCATCTTCCCACCTTTCATCGCCGCCAGCGCCCCGTCACTGACCCTCTGCTCCAGATCTGCCAGATCTGCTCTGCTTCCGCGCGCTGGTCCATCGACCAGCTCCTGGCCTTCTCCCTCCAACGCCTCCGCCACCGCTGTCCTCGACTCCGGGAACATTATCCTCACTGCTTTCGAGAGGACCTTCTGGGTGCAGGCCTCCCAGCAGCCAGCATCCTGCTCTGCCTTCGCAGAGACAAGCAGCCTTCGGTAACTTTCCACGCTGCTGCCTCATTGCCAAGATTCCTCACTGCTGATCTATTGCACACAGATCTGCAGTTGTCTTGCACAAAGCTGATCACGCCACTGGCTGCATCACTTCCCAAAGTCCCTCCTATAGAACTGCTGCATAGAAATCTACAGCTTTACACCATCTTGCATAGGTCTTTTCCTTCAACGAAGACCTTATTCTTTCACAGATCTTATTTGCCACCACCTCAGGTGACATTGATCTATACCAACACTTCTTTCTCCCTGATCATATCTTCCATATGTCATCATCATCTACCTCGGATGCTCCCATTACTATTCCCGCAGGGAACCATAGTATCTTCCCACATACAAACCTTATCTCCATAAATGCAGCAACCCTCATCCCCTTCAAATTATCCAACGGTGGTAACTACGCATCATGGCGTGCTCAATTATCTAATATACTATTTGGCTATGATCTTCTAGGCTATGTCGATGGCTCTCTTCGTTGTCCACCGGCGATGCTCAACATCTCAGGCGCATCCGATCCAGTACCAAATCCGGATCACAAACTATGGTTACGCCAGGATCGCCTCATCCTTCAAGCAATTCAAGCCTCGGTCGCTGGATCCCTTGCCCCACTCATTTCTTCATGTGACACTGCTGCCAAAGCTTGGTGCAAGTTGCAAACCACCTTGGCCAATCGTTCTCACACTTGCTTAGTCTTCTATCCAGCCTCATGAAGATAAAACAAGAGGGAAGTAATATTGCTGATTATCTACATAACATAAAGGTTATCATCGATAACTTGGCCTTGGTAGGTCATTCCCTCAGTGATGAAGAAGTTACTGTTCATATTCTCAATGGCCTCGGAGACGAGTACAAGGAATTGGCAGCAGCAATACGGGCGCGTGATTCACCAATCACATTCGAAGAACTTTTCGACAAGCTGATTGACTTTGAGATATATCTCAAGCGCGAGGACAAATCGCCAGGACCATCCAACACCTTAAGTCACCCCCACACACTCCTTAACTAGTTGGCTCTGCTGAACGTAAACATCAACATATCGTAGAAATTGGTCTCACACTTCTACATCAAGCCTCCATGCCACCAACTTTTTGGTCTGCCGCCTTTCAAACTGCTGTCTACCTTATTAATCGTTTGCTCACTCCAGTTCTTCAATACCAGTCTCCATTTGAAAAACTATTTTCCAAATCCCCAAACATTCAAAAACTCAGAATATTTGGTTGTTTATGTTATCCGTGGCTACGTCCCTATGCCCCACACAAGTTAGCGCCACGATCTAAAGCTTGCATCTTCATAGGATATTCTCTTGAGCATAATGCATTTCGGTGCTACGAACCACAATCTCAAAAAGTCTTTATTTCACGACATGTTGTTTTTGTTGAATCTGCCTTTCCATTTCAAAACCATGAATCTCCTACCATTCATACCACTCCGACAAATATTCATTCCTGGAGTATACATTCGATCCCCTCAAACGAATCTCCTCCCACACCATCCAGTCCTATTGTTGAAGATCCACACTCTTTTGTTCTCCCGGTTCAACAACTCTCCACTCCCCCCATTCCTTCTCCCCTTCCTTCTTCACAAGTCTCCCCTACCACTGAAGTCGTATCCTCAGAAACACAACAACTTTCTTTACCTAGTGCCATCGATGTATCTCAACCTCTCTTGCATCCTGTTGATGCCTCTCTACCACTCTTACCAATACCACAACCTGCAGTTCCTAGCCATCCAATGACAACACGCTCAAAAAGTGGTATCTTTAAACCACGTCAGGTTCTCGACCTCCATACTATCACCAATTCTTCTCTTGAGACCAGTGAGCCCACCACAATTACTCAAGCACAAAAATCTTCACATTGGCGTCAAGCTATGTGTGAAGAATATGATGCTCTTCTACATAACTCCACATGGACTCTTGTACCCTCTCATCCTGTACAAAATATCATCGGGTGTAAATGGGTATTCCGAATTAAGCGAAACCCCGACGGGTCCGTTGCTCGATATAAAGCACGATTAGTAGCCAAAGGGTTTCATCAACGACCTGGAGTTGATTTTACAGAGACTTTTAGTCCTGTAGTTAAACCCACAACAATTCGGCTTATTCTAAGTTTGGCTATCTCCAGAGGTTGGAACTTATGACAACTGGACGTTAACAATGCCTTTTTACAAGGGACTCTAACTGAAGATGTCTTTATGCAGCAACCCCCTGGCTTTGTTCATCACCAGTATCCGAGACATGTTTGCAAATTACGAAAA